TGTAAACGTGCACAAAAATCACATGAAATTTTGACAGTTTTCACAGTTTTACAACTCAGTATGCGGAATTTTACACGTGTGTCTGTATGTGTGTGTGTGTGTGTGTGTGTGTGTGTGTGTGTGTCTGTCTGTCTGTCTGTCTGTCTGTCTGTCTGTCTGTCTGTCTGTCTGTCTGTCTGTCTGTGAACACGATAGCTGAGTATCGTTACAGCTGAAGAAATGTCATATAAAATAATTATATAAAATGTGTAGTTCTGTATACAATTTTTTGGTTACCGAAAACTTATAGGCTTATGAAAAACCGAAAGTTGAATAACTTGAGTACTGTTTCAGTTAAATAGATCTTTTAAATGTGAAATTTTGTCTGATTCTGTTTTCTGTCAAATTTTGGGTAATTTCCGGTGACCGGAAGTACTACTTTACGTTATTTCCGACTTCTCAAAATAAAAACGCATAAGAATTTTTTTTTTGGTCCGCCATGATCGGAAACTTGCGAGAAAAATTTTGAACGCTTCTACCGGACTTTTTGTATTGTGACATTAAATATTACATAGTTAGTTGTTCAATTAACTCTTTGAATATTTTTCAAGGTTTTCTGTATAAAGTACTAATGTTCCGCAGTATTCTACACACATTAAAAATAATACGTATTTCTTCCAGTCATCTCCGGACAAAATGGAATTTATATAGAAAAGATATACTTCTCCCAGTGTCCGCCCCCCCCCCCCCGGAGTCTATGCATCAGGCAGCACTCTTGTAACGAAGTCCTAGAGAAAGTGGATAGATTCACCTACCTTGGAAGTATTGTTGATAAGCAGGGCTGGACAGAAGAAGACATAAAAATAAGGACGGGCAAGGCAAGAGCAGTCTTCAACCAACTAAAAAGTGTTTGGGGTTCCTGCAGTGGCGTAGCGAGGTCGGGTGTCACCCGGCACTTAATGGTGTAACCCCCTCCCCCCAGAGGCGTAGCGACCCTTCCCGGGGATAAAATTTCAAATTTTTTTATTTGCACCCCCGCCAGCTAGAGTCACGCTATTTGGAAGGAGAAATCTTTAGTTTTCAGATCTGTTGGTAGCGTCACTGTGGTTATTCATGGTTTCAATCCTCCCTCTCCCACCTCAAGGAAAAAGTATATATATATATATATATATATATATATATATATATATATATATATATATATATATATATATATATATATATATATATATATATATATAGGCCTATATATATATATATATATATATATATATATATATATATATATATATATATATATATATATATATATATATATATAGCTTCTTGACAACAGCTTCTCTCGTTCGCGCCATAATTCCTCAATTTTGATATCTTGATGAATATTTTTGAACAATCCGCGATGTACTGCGGCCTCGATAAATGAACCGCGAAATAGCGAGGAGTGACGGTATAAGCAATATGGTATTTCTTAAAATAAAGACGTAAACAGAAAAACAATAGAATGTAGGACTACTCTTTCATTTAAGATACAAAAAAAAAGTGTTAGACTTAATCAATATAACAAGGCATTTTATCTTATTCTAAAACTGATGTTGTGCTATAAATCATATTTTAAAACACTCATTAATGTTCAACATATTACCACTAGCCTCTCAATCGTTTAAATATCAAAGGTGATATATTTTTCAGATATATCCTTTCATACGAAAAAAATAGCACATTAATCTCACTACTTATAATTCATAAGAAATTTAGTATTGATTGATCAGTTACGTAGCAATCACAACCAAACATCAAATAATATCGATTTGTATTTTTCTAATTTCATGTCACCCAACCCTCCCCTCCGAGTATGGTTTATTATTTATTCAGTAGGTTGTCGCCCCTCCCCCGATGTCTAATGGCGTAAAATTGTACACATTATATTATTAATCAACCAAAAAACTGTTTTCACCGAACACAATATTCTGTTCCGCAGCCACCAACCCCTCGCCTCAACGCGAATCTGCGCTTAACTTTTTACTCTAATTGTTATTTATTCAACTAGAAAAAACATTGTTTTCACAATCAATATTAATGTGGTGTCACCCCCACCCAATGATTGATGTATCAGTTATTGTTGAAACTTATTAAAAAAACGTATTTTTCATCTGTAAATATTACACTAATTAGTTGGAGTGACCCCCAGCACCCCGACCTCCCGCCACCCCACAAGTCTGCGTGTAGATTTACCCTGTTAAGAGTGAATAGTATATATAATTATTTTCCCCATCTGACACGGCATTAATTAAAACCCGGTACTTTGAACTACGTTCTTTGTGGTAAAATTGTAAATTTTTAAAAAAATAACTTTATGCTTACAATGTATAAACGAGGTACCGGAATATCTACATTTCAAAACAATATTACCATTTGTATTTTCCCATGGGGTAAAATTCGGTCAAATATCGTGTGTACAAAAGCGTACACGTCTATACTAGGTTATTAGAGCAGTTACGAATAGTATTGTTGTTATTATGGTTAGCAAATTTACATTATGGATGGCTCATTAGGGCGTTTCCTCTCCGTGATGGCCGTGTCTGGTTTTAACACAAGCACGTGTTTCTCGTGACAATAGTTGTCAAAATCCTTTCAGGGAGTCTGGTTACAAGTTATAGTTATCTCCCTTCTTTGTATTTAACACAATAAGGGTAGACAACTCGGTAGAACATTTGACACCTTCTTTACGTGTATCCTGGTGTTGCGATTTGCCGTTCCTTACAAGAGAAAACTGTTAATGGCCTATCCATGGAGGTATTAAACGTCACTCAGCTGAATAATTTATTTATATGAAACACATTTGCATTTCTGCGAAACCTCGTTGGTTTGTGTTTTAAAAGGTTGAAATTAATTTTCGTCAATAAGAGAAAGCTGCTAAAAAAACCTAGAAGATAAAAAAAAAGCATTTTTTAAAATATGTAAGTAAAAAAATAAGTAAAATAAATAAAAAATAAATAAAAAAATATGTAAGTAAACTATTGACCAGCTAATTAATTATTACTGAGATTTCGATTATTTACATGTTATAGACGGCCAGTCAACATTGTCTTGAGTGTATATTTATATTCATCCTATACGACGCCTATAACCCTTAACCTTTTGTCTATGACTTGAGGTTTTAACATTAATTTTGAAGACCAAACCAATGATCAAATGATGTCTTGCGCACCCCGTTACTCCACACCACCACTGACGCTACTGGCTGCAGAGTTTCTATTGCACCCCTCGACTGAATGACACCACTGATAACTGTCTGACTCCCCCCCCCCCCCCCCCCACACACCCTTGACCACACACCAGCCTAGCAACTCCACAGATCAACTAACATCCAACCAGGTTTTTACACACCGTTCCCGATGGTAAAATAGATGGTAGTGAAATTTAAAATAATATGTTTTTCGGGTTAGCCGTACCTTAAAACCAAACCTGAACTCACATTCCTCCTGCTGAAAGTTATCCGACCCTGAAACTAACCCTAACGCACGCGTCTGCCCGCAACAACAAGGCCGGTAACCCGCGACACAATTATATCATAAATATTTCAAATCATATCCGGTCGGATGTGCAAGAAGCCGAGTCGATGCTTTGATTCTGTGTGGCGCTGTAGTATCGAACACCGTATGTTTGATTACAGTATAGCACCCGCTAATGTTGCAAGTATGCCCAGTGTATGGCACTAGCTAGCGCTTACATCAAGTATACCTCCTATATAGCACCCACTATTGCTTGCATGCAGTATGCCTAGTGTATAGCATAGGCCAGGGGTCGGCAACCTGCGTCTCGCGAGCCGCATTCGGCTCTTTTGATATCAAGATGCGGCTCTCCAGCTCCTTGAACAAATACTAATAATCTTAATAAAAAATAAAATATTTGAAATAAAAAAAATGTTAGTGGCTCTTTAAAACCAGGGAAATTTTGAAAATTGTAACTTTTGGCTCTTCCGCTTCAAAAGGTTGCCGACCCCTGGCATAGGCTAATGTTTGTACAACGTATACCTACTGTATAGCACCCAAAATTGTTAGCACTATTAATACCTTTAGTATAGCACCCAATATTGTTTGAACCTAGACCTAGTATGCCTACAGTAAAGCACCCAATATTATTTGCACCTAATACGTCTGCCTTATAACACCCAATATTATATGCGCCTAGTATGCCTACAGTCAAGCACCCAATATTATTTGCACCTAGAATGCCTTCTGTATAGCTCCCAATATTATATGCACCGGCTATTGTTATGGAGGAGCCACCCTAACTTCCGCCGTTCATAGAATAAAAATATGTGATATAGGAAAGCATTTGGCGAATCCAGAGCTTGTTTGATTACCTCGTCTCGAGATCATTGTTTGGCTAAGGCATGCGCTACCGCCCAATTGATGTGTCGATTTTATCATTATTTAAATTTTGTGTTTATGTATTGGTCGATAAGTTGAGTTCTGACATAGAAAATTCATTATAGAGTTTTTTTATAGGGTTGGCGGCCAACAAAAGACACAGTGGAGCGTGTATTTGGTTGTCACAATTTCATTTGTGCTCGACAGTTGCATGAGTACTCGGAGATTGAATGTAACGTTCGATCGTTTCAAGTCTATTGGATCTGAATAAAGGTTTCAATAATGTCTTGTAGGCCTAGACATCCATTGTGGATGCATTAAAAAATATTGCGGGTTACCATTCATATCGTATGTACACCATTCATCATGACATGAACTACTCGTCTTGGCCTTAGTATTCTAATATATATATATATATATATATATATATATATATATATATATATATATATATATATATATATATATATATATATATATATATATATATATATATATATATATATATATATATATATATATATATATATATATATATATATATATGCAAATTGCATTTGTGAATAAAATTATTGTTTTATGATCGTCTAGACTCTAGACCATCTGAATATTCAAATATCTCGATGAACTAATAAAAGCCGTATATAGGGATCCTCATTTTATTGAACTTTAAAGATGAACAAAAAAAAAGAATAATTGTAACTTCTCAGTTCCTAAAATTAGATATCTTTTTTAAATCGTAGTTTTCTGTGTTAGTTTCATTTCGGTTTGGTGAGCTGTGATTAAGTTATTTTACTTTGCTTAGTTGTCCAGATTTTGTAGGAGAACTGTCCAATACCTAGAAAAAAAAAAGAAAACCAATTAATGACATTGGTTCCTATTAGAGCGAATTAACTATAAATTTCTTCCCGCCCCCGGGATTAAAAATGTAATAGCCCATCAAAATTCAGCGCCACCCCGGGATTAAAATCTCACCCCCTATTAGCACATCTAGCACCAACCCCTGAAAGCACATCCAACTGACACACTTGACACACTTGTCACACTTGACACACTTGACACACTTGACACACTTGACCCACTTGACCCACTTGACACACTTGACACACTTGACACACTTGACACAACTGACACACTAGACCCACCTGACACACTTGACCCACCTGACACACTAGACCCACCTGACACACTTGACCCACTTGACACACTAGACCCACCTGACACACTTGACCCACCTGACACACTAGACCCACTAGACCCACCTGACACACTTGACACACTTGACCCACTTGACCCACCTGACACACTTGAACCACCTGACACACTAGACCCACTAGACCCACTTGACACACTTGACACACTAGACCCACCTGACACACTTGACACACTTGACCTACTTGAACCACCTGACACACTTGACACACTTGACCCACCTGACACACTAGACCCACCTGACACACTTGACACACTTGACCCACTTGACCCACCTGACAAACTTGACCCACCTGACACACTTGACACACTTGACCCACTTGACCCACCTGACACACTTGACCCACCTGACACACTTGACCCACCTGACACACTTGACCCACCTTACAAACTCATCCTGCGAGACGACACCGTCACCGTCCCCCTCCATGAGCGTGTAGAAGTTGTCGTAGTCGTGCATGTCGAGGTGGTGATCGCCGTCGACGTCGTAGATGTCGTAGAGCTGGTGTGAGATCTTGTGGAGCTCGGGGTTGTGGGTGTCGATGTAGAGGGTGTACTCATGTCTGGTCACTCGCCCGTCGTTGTTGCTGTCATACTCCTGCACGTGCATGAGGGGGTGAATGGTTTTATATGCATAGATGATCACGGTGAGTACTTTATTGGTAGGTACATGTTTATATATATATGATCTAGGTGAGTATTTTAGGTACAGGTTTATATATAGACTAGGCATGCTGCCCAGCTTCGCTTAGGCTTTCGAAAACATTGAGAATTTGAAAGCTTAATTAATTCGTCTACGACCTCAGGAGTTATGAAGAGGTTCCTAGGTGGACAATTTTTTTCGATTTAGAGCTCATATAAGGCGCCGGTCAGTCAAGGTCAGTTTTGACCCCCTCATCGTAGACTTTTCGGCCAACCGGCCCTCGTGTTCTGTCGCCCCAAGGCAAGATCCTGCCAAATTTGAAGCGCCTGCGGCGCCGGGAAGTGCCCGATAGGGCACCCGACAACTTTGCTTTATATATTATAGAGATTAGCAAATTGCATAGATAAACAAAGATTTCAATAAAGTAATTAAGGCCTGAAATAGTTTAGTATAGAAATGTATTATTTGAATAGATTCTAGATCTAGGTAGGGTCTACATCTGTTTAAGTCTAGTTTTTCCGTAGATCTAGATCATCTAGATCTAGATCTAGAATCTCTAGATCTAGATGATCTAGAATATCTAGATCTAGTATATCTAGATCTAGAATCCTAATAGAATTTTTTTTTAAGTTTAGTCCGAGCAAAATTGTATTGTATAGATCTAAATTTTATAGCGTACGTAGATCTAAATAATATTTGAATGAAATAGTTCATTTCTGTTTATTCTAAACACGGCAGATGACGTCATCAGTTTCGTGCTCTTTTTTTAGTGTAAACAATAAGCGACGTCATTGTTAAATGCGTTCATGTCCCAAGTATATACATTTTTCCGGTTGCATAAATAAAATTGTTTTTCTACATTCAAATACGCCTTTATTTTTTTATTTTTCTTCTTTAAATAAAATTGTGGTTATACATTTAAAACATCTAACATATTATTTTCAACAAAAGTCCGTATAAAGTTCTTCATATATCGCTGCCGATTCTGATGTGATGTCCGGCGAAAATATTTTGCGGACAGACAGAGAGAGAAAGAGAGAGAGAAGTGCGCACGGGGGCTTTTATATATTAGGATATGATGTAGGTGAGTATTTAGGTACATGATTATATATAGATATGACCTAGGTGATTATTTTAGGTACATGTTTATATATAGATATGATCTAGGTGAGTATTTTAGGTACATGTTTATATATAAATGATCGTGTGGGGTTCTTTAATAGAAATACATGTTTATAATTAGATAATCTAGGTTAGTGCTTTAATGGGAGGAACATGTTGGTAATTAGATAATATACATCATAAGTTTAATGGTTGGCACTAGTATGTGTCTACAATATAGAGGACGCTGTGGGCTTTAAGTGATTAAAATCTAAATTTGAATTTTCCCAGTTTAAATTTTTAAATCTAATTAAAACAGAACTTTAAATTTTGAATTTGTTCTACAAAGTGAAATAAATAAAATAAATTATCTATATGCTGGGCAAGGCAAAATATTTAGTGAGTTTTCAATTACAAAAATGAAACAACTCAAAAAATTGTAATAACTAAAAACACCGCTCTTAAAAGAGAAGATCAATACCATTAATCGATAAAGAATCTGTGAATGTTAGTCAGATTTATCGCTCGCCTAAAAGATTTAAACAGAATTTGTAAATATTATATTATAGCCTTTTATAATGTAATATACTCTTGAGGGAAAATCCTTTGTCGTTACAAGGTTGTACTGAATCGTGCAATCATGCGTGTACAATTTAGATGCGTTCTTTTTAAACAGCTTTAGTTTTATTGAAAAAGCAAACTTAGGAACATACACGCCAATTAAATATGAAGATCAGGAATGAGGGTGTAGGCCCCTATTTAATGTGTCGAGACTAGCTAAATATTCTAGCTATATATTGAATTACTTAAAACATATTTCATTTATTTAAAAATATTATTTAGTTTAACGCGTACTAAAATTGTTACTACGACAAAAATTGAGCATTTACTTTATTTTTTATTTTTAACGTATAATACTCTCTTTTTTTAAATATGTTTTTTATTTTCCATTTTAAAATAATCACATCAACATTGTTTAAATATTTAAAAACAAGAAAAAGAAACCAGTTTAACAATGGCATACCAAAGGTGTAGGGCAAATAGAAAGACATTAATATGGAAACAGGAATAAAAATCAAAATCATGATATGAGCTAAAGGGTGAAAACAAGTGTAGTGATAAAGGTTGCAGCCTTTAAGTCTAGACAATACAAAGGGGCTTACTTTTCACTTGCTTTGCTCAAAAATGGTTGCAGTAATGAAAATTTGAAATTCTTTTTTTTTTTTTTTGTTGAAGTAAGTTTGTTCATACCTTAAGTTAAATTAGAAATCAAACTTTTTAAAAAAAAATTTTTAAACTGCTTGATTAAGTTTATGTTCATCTCTCCTGAGTTACCCATCTTGAACACAATTCAAAACTCATAGAGTTACTGTTCATGTCTCCTGAGTTACCCACCCTGAATACAACCTAAAACTCCTTGAGTGAGTTACTGTTCGTGTCTCCTGAGTTACCCGCCCTGACTACAACTCAAAACTCCTTGAGTGAGTTACTGTTTATGTCTCCTGAGTTACCCGCCCTGAACACAACTCAAAACTCCTTGAGTGAGTTACTGTTCGTGTCTCCTGAGTTACCCGCCCTGAATACAACTTAAAACTCCTTGAGTGAGTTACTGTTCGTGTCTCCTGAGTTACCCACCCTGAATACAACTCAAAACTCCTCGAGTGAGTTACTGTTCATGTCTCCTGAGTTACCCACCCTGAATACAACCTAAAACTCCTTGAGTGAGTTACTGTTCGTGTCTCCTGAGTTACCCGCCCTGACTACAACTCAAAACTCCTTGAGTGAGTTACTGTTTATGTCTCCTGAGTTACCCGCCCTGAACACAACTCAAAACTCCTTGAGTGAGTTACTGTTCGTGTCTCCTGAGTTACCCGCCCTGAATACAACTTAAAACTCCTTGAGTGAGTTACTGTTCGTGTCTCCTGAGTTACCCACCCTGAATACAACTCAAAACTCCTCGAGTGAGTTACTGTTCGTGTCTCCTGAGTTACCCGCCCTGACTACAACTCAAAACTCCTTGAGTGAGTTACTGTTTATGTCTCCTGAGTTACCCGCCCTGAACACAACTCAAAACTCCTTGAGTAAGTTACTGTTCGTGTCTCCTGAGTTACCCGCCCTGAATACAACTTAAAACTCCTTGAGTGAGTTACTGTTCGTGTCTCCTGAGTTACCCACCCTGAATACAACTCAAAACTCCTCGAGTGAGTTACTGTTCGTGTCTCCTGAGTTACCCACCCTGAATACAACTCGAGTTACTGTTCGTGTCTCCTGAGTTACCCACCCTGAATACAACTCGAGTTACTGTTCGTGTCTCCTGAGTTACCCACCCTGAATACAACTCGAGTTACTGTTCGTGTCTCCTGAGTTACCCACCCTGAATACAATGTCCAGCTCGTAGCGCTCAAAGACTCCGTTCCCGCCAATGTCCATCTCTTTAAACATGGCGAGAGCCGTCTGGTCGTAGGGGTAGAGGTTCTGCTGCATGGTGCAGACGGCCAGACAGAGCACGATGGTCAGGTAAGTCAGCATGGCGACCCTAGAAACTAGTCATAATACAAGGACGTATGGATATAGCCAAACATTAGTGTAATTGTATATATATATATAGGCCATATATATATATATATATATATATATATATATATATATATATATATATATATATATATATATATAGGCCATATATATATAGGCCATATATATATATATATATATATATATATATATATATATATATATATATATATATATATATATATATATATATATAAATGTAATATAGCCTACACACACATTAATATATATATATATATGTATATATATATATATATATATATATATATATATATATATAATTGATGGATTTAAGTATATGAAGTTTAAGGGAAATCAATGATAACCTTACTTGTGACTTGTATCCAAAAGAAGTTGTGCTGTGTTCTGGGCTAATCTCTGGGAGCTAGATCTGGGAACTCAGGCAAATGTTCCATTCTACGGTCTCGTTTCTTACACGCTTCATACAATCATGTCAAATAATTGTGGTTTTTTTTTATCTATGTTGATTGATCGTGATTATTAGAACCTAATTGTTAATTAGAAAACGTGGAAAATAGTGTGTGTGTGTTCCTTTTGCTGATAAGCACGCCCAATTCTCTCTCATTTCGTTGCGTATTAATTAGAATTAATTATCAGTTATTAATTATTTAGTAATAAAATATTCGGGTAGTTCCTGCAACACTATTTATTGAAAATTTAATTAGACTAATAAAAAACTTATTCACGTTATTATTTTTTTTTAATCAAAGACATTTTTAAAAGTATAAAGATCTTTGTTTCCTTTCAATAAATTTTTGTTTTTGCTTCATATTTCAGCAAATGTACATGGAATTAATTGAATTTATATTGATTTAGCCCTATTTAATTGAAAAAGCATATTTTTTTCGGCGAATGTTTATGTAAGGATTATCGACGAAAATCGAGGTTTGAACGTGCTGAAAAGATAAAGCTGCACTTTGTTCACGTGACTTTAGCGTGTATCACTAGAGGGTTGAAACTTCAACAATTTAAAACAATCGAAACGTTAATCAAGTGTAAGTTTAATTAAATTGTAATATTGATTAAACGTCAAGGGTGCGATGCTATTTATTTTCTTAATTAACTTTACACCAAGGGGTGGTCAATAATTAAGCTGTAAATTACTTTGTTGTTTGTTCTTTTGTTGGCTGGTGCTATTTGTGTTGGTTTGTAGATTTTGTGGAAGGTATATTTTTGGCCGTGTGTTGCTTTGTTTTTGTTATGTGGGTTTATCTTTTATTGTCCTGTTTTGATTGCATTTAATTGTTGTAATATAATTCACTTGTGGGAATGCGTGGCCTAAGGGTAGTGGGCTAGACTGCATACCTGAAAATCTCGAGTTCGATTCAAGGCAGTAGAACGTCCATGAGTCCACTCAGCTATGATGAGTACCTAAATTAAGTGAACTCTACATCACTTGCCACATGGGCCGACAGGTTTGAAAAGGGAATGTTGCTAGTTTATTTGTAAGCAAAAGAATTTTTTTAATGAAATGTGTAAGAAAGGGTTGTGTTAATGGGATATACATTTCAGATCTTTATAGCTATAAATTTATCACACGTACTAAAACTATATGTGTTGCTTTCCTTGCATATCATAGCGCAAGAGAATATACCAATTTCGTATTGCAGCTGTCCTTGCCATAACCCACTGCCCACATTAAACATCATGTTGCTAGTACAAATACAGAATTGTATATTCCACAGGTTAGACTACTCGTGTAGGGAAAATTTATTTTGGAAAACTAGGTTATCTCTCTTTAATTAAAAAACAAGTTAATTAAAAAGTCTAGTGACAATTTTAGCGCAATTTCCTTATGTTATCTAAAAATAGCTCTGTCGTAGCGTAAATCAAGAGCAGGGTTAGTAAAACTATTGGTTAGTTATTAAAAGTTTTTTATTAAAAAAAAATTTCAGTATTTTACATGTTTTATTTACAATAGAGTTACATGACTAAAAACCATTGCGCGCCTAGCTACCGAACGTGACGTCGCAGCTATTGAACGTGATGACGCGTGTGGTGTGGTTGGAAAAAATGCCTACTAATTCGGTCCAAATTTTAATTAATTCAAAAAAAATTTTGTGACCGAACGAAAGGATATTTTTGAAAACTTTCTTCGGCAATATTGTTCTAAATTATGGCAGGAATCGATTGGTACATGTTTCAAGTCGCTAAGTGGTCTGGTTGCCGAGATATGGACCAAAAACTGCTTTTTTTCGAGGTTTTTTTGCTTTTCCGGGAAATCCATGAAAGAAACCCGGAATTTTTATAGCCTATGTTCATCCTCGTAACTTGCTTAACATAATTGCTTTTGGAACTAGTCATCGATATTGCTTCGTTGAGGAGGAGATACGACTTAAAGCTGCGGACACACATCCATCCATTCATTCATGCATTCATACATCCAGAAAGACGGGTTAATAAACGCAATTCTCCAGAATGGAAATTGCGCTAAAAACATTTATAGTCGTGATTAGATTATCAGAAGCCTGGTATATTTGTTTGATTTTAAATTGATTATTTAAACATTTCCCAATTTAGTAATTAAATATGCTTTATTTTAACAAATGATTAATAGAAGAAATTGCTTTTTAATTTGCTTAGTACAAAATTATTTTAATGAGCTTTTTGGGCTACCTCATAAGACTAGAGGAGCGGTAAGTCATGGAGGAGGTTTGAAGGTTTGCCTACCTTTCACACTATAACTCATGCAGTTTTTGTCAATGAAACAACGTGTGCCAGTAACTGTAGAACAATCACTGTAGTAATTATGTTTGTTGTTTTTACAAAAACCACTAGTCAATCAAGGTGCAATTTTGTTTTATTTTGGTCGGATTTTGGGCCCCTAAAATTAACGGCAAACTTTTATTTTTCGTTAATCAAAATTAAGTAATCAAAATTAGAGAATCGTCATTATTAAGCTTTTAAATGCATGGAAAATAAGAAAACAATATTAATTTGCTTTATTTAATTCAAATAAAAGTGTTGATTGATCATGCGGTGTTCATGTTGTGTAACACAATTACAATTTCCATTTGCTGTTGAATATGGATCGCCAAACACCCACAGATAGAGCTTAGTCCACAAGTGTAGCCTTTGTGTTGTCAGACTCGCTTCAACCAGCCATCATTTATGTGAGAGGCATTTTATCTTTGGGTTTTAAGATCCGTCTGAGGTGGATTGTAATGACTGACGAGAAGCCGCGTTGGTTGTTAACAGCCTTTATTATTTACAGACGCCATGATGCAAAGAGAGAGAGAGAAGTGGCCAGAGACAACTATATATAGATAACAACATGTAAGGGACATCACTCAAGATAACAATATAAATATAATACTAATACAGAGAGTGAGTTCCCTTGACCTCACAATTATTTCAATCTATTACATCCCTTTACCCTTAGAACACAATAACACATCTCTCAATAGAACAATTGATAGTATCCTAAAATCACCAATTATATTGTAACATGAACACTATGGTAGATTACATCCTTGCAAACAATGCACAATATGCTACAACATAATCAAAATACAAAACAATGATGTCAAAGTCCTTTTGACCTTTAAAATCATAGGTCTAACTTATTTGGGACCTTGATTGTCCTGCTTGACCTTCTCAGTGGCTTTTGATTTGGTGACTCAAGATTCTGACCATCTGGATTCTCTATCTCAGGAGGTCTAGGATTTAAATCATTAACTCCAGAATTTACATTTTCTGACTCCAGACAACTTGGTTCACTCATATCAACAGAACTTGGTTGTGGAACAAACTGAGTTGGTGTGAACTGATCAGACTTGGTGGGATTGACAGATTCACACTTATTATCTGCACAAGTTATTTTTAACTTTATAAGGCACAGGTCCTGTAGATTGAACAATTTGACCTGGTATCCATTTTTCCTTTCTCCCATAATTTCTTAGATACACATTCTTATTAACTGCAAATTTTCTTTCAATGAATGTTTGTCATGATTTAATGGAACTATTTTTGAATTGGCATCTGAAAGTATTATGCTGTTATTCAGATCCTTGACTGACATAGATTTCTTTGATTGATCAATTTCCTCAGGTAATCTGATAGTGCTTTTCGGTAACCAAAAATACTGTTTAAAAGTAATATCCTGGATAATATCACTTTGCAACTAGGATCCAGTATTTGAAATGGGTGTATTAAATGGCAAAAATCTTTTTTCTTTTCTTTTGATGTTACCCTTTTAGTTTCTGTAAGTGCTAATGATGTTAGCAAAGTTGTTTGATGATCACATTCCTTCTTACTAATGTATTCTCTTTAAAACATTTGAAATTGCCATATCACCATAATCATTTATTAAATTACAAGTACTTTGTTTAGGCAACTCTGACTGATAATGGACTGCATCTTCTCCATCTTTTATATTATCTTCACAAAGGGTTTTATTTCTTATTTTATATGGCCTTAAGTCATCATTCACAGAGTCTTCAGGCCAATCATTCTTACAGTACTCATATACTTTTATTAAGCACTCATCTTTTTGTGTTTCTCTTTTAATATCATTCACATTTATATTGGAGTTATCCATGATAGTGAAGAGAACAAATACATCTTCTGGTACATAGCTCAGGCTTTGGTTTTTTAAAGGTAATCTACTAAGACTATCTGCACTATTCTCAGATCCAGGTTTGTATTTCAATTCATAATTGTATGCAGTTAGTGTGATAGCCCATCTTTGAATTCTTGGTGAGGCATGCTCAGGTAGGGTTTTGTTTTCTCCAAATAAACCTAGCAATGGTTTATGATCTGTAAAGATGGTGAACTTCCTACCAAACAGAAACTTATGAAATTTCTTAACACCAAAAATGATGCCTAAGCCTTCCCTATCTAACTGAGAATAATTTTTCTCAGCCTGGTTCAAAGATCTACTGGCAAAAGCAATGGGTCTGTCACCCTTCTCATCCATGTGGGACAAGACTGCTCCTACACCATCTGGTGAAGCATCACATGTCAATACAAGTCTTTTCCCTGGGTCATAGTGAGTTAGTAAGGTGTCAGAAGACAAAGCCTCTTTTACTGTATTAAAAGCAGTATCTTGTTGTTTACCCCAGTGCCAAGTTGCATTTTTCTGTAGCAGCTTGTACAGTGGTGATAGTTTACCAGACAGATTTCCTATGAACTTTGCATAGTAATTTATCAAGCCCAAAAAAGCTCTTAGTTGTTGGGTATTTTCAGGTTTGGGTGCTTCTTTAATGGCTTTTGTTTTCTCAGGTTGAGGTCTGATGCCTTGTTTGCTCAATATATAACCAAGAAAACTAATTTCTGTCAACATGAATTGACATTTATCTTTGTTTATCTTTAAACCTTTTTCACCAACAATTTTTAATACTTTATCAAGTGTTTTAAGATGTTCAGTGTCATTCTTACCAGTTATGTACACATTGTCAAAGTAAACACAAACATTTGGAATGTCCTTAAAAATACTGTCCATGACAGCTTGGAAAATTCCAGGGCTAGATGATATGCCAAAACATAGTCTTTCATATTGGTAGAGTCCTTTATGTGTGTTTATTGTCGTATAGACTTTTGAATCTGGATGCAGTTCTAGTTGAGTGTAAGCATGACTAAAGTCTAATTCAGTGAATTTGTCTCCTCCTGCCAAATTCAAAGAAATTTCCTCAATGTTAGGTATAGGGTACCTATTTAGCTCTATTTGCTTATTCAGTGTGGTTTTATAATCTCCACAAATTCTTATAGAACCATCCTTCTTTAACACTGGCACAATGGGTGTCGCCCAATCGGAATAGTCTACCTTCTTTATAATGCCATTAGATTCCAATCTACTTAGCTCATTTTCAATTTTATTCCTCATTGCATAAGGTGGAACTCTAGCTTTGCAGTATCTTGGATTTGTATCTTTAATGCTTAACTTCACTGTTCTATCATTTAGTAAACCAGAGTTACCAAAAACACATTTATTTTCAGATATAACTTTATCTAGTGAAGTAAGACTAGATTCTTTTACATTCTTCAATGAACAAATACTCTCCCAATTTAACTTAAGATCACTTAACCAGTTCCTACCTAGTAATGGCGGTCCATTTCCTTCAACCACAAGAAGAGGAAGTTTAACACTTTGACCCTTATAACTTACATGAACCATACACTCTCCTATTACCGGAACATTGTCACCAGTGTATGTTGTTAGACACTTGTGACACGGCTGTAGAGACACTGATCCTCCTGTGACAGCGTCAAAATCTTTCTTTGTTATGACTGTTAGAGATGCTCCAGTGTCAAGTTGGAAGCTGATGCTCTTACCGTTGATATAAACTTGTACATTGATGGGAGCATGACTTATTGATTTCACAGAGAACAGGTTGAAATCCGGCTGCAAATCAGTTTGAGCATTTTCACAGGTAGAGTGGTTCATTGGTTGGGTTAGGTAGTCTTGGTGAGAGTTAACATAGTGCTGCTTTTGGTTGCGGTACTGTCTTGACTGGCTAGATTTAGCAACAGACGAAGACTTTGCAAAGCAGGCCTTGGCAATGTGACCTTGCTTACCGCACTTATAACAAGTTGCTAACTTGAACTTGCACCGATGAGATGCATGGGGACCTTTGCATCGATGACATTTTTGATAATTATTACTAGATTTAGATCTAGGATTTGAACGAGCAGGCTGTTTAGCATAAGTTGGAATGCTCTGATGGGGTTGATGTTTATTGACTAACCTGCTGTTTACTGCATGGATCTCTGAAGGTGCTAAAGATCTCGCCGCATCTGATGACTGCTGGAATGACATTGCAAGTTGTATTGCTTTTTCCAATTTTAGATCTGACTCGAGCAGCAACTTTCTTTGAATATCAGGGCTGTTTACACCTGTCACAAACTTTTCACATAGTCTGTCAGACAGCGTTTCTCCAAATTCACAGAATCTACTTAAATGACGTAAAGCAGCAACATATTCTGATATTGACTCGTTTGGTTGACGAGTCCTACTGTCAAATCTAGCTCTACATAGAAACTTTGATGGTACAGGCGCATGGTGGTCTGTTAGCAATTTGCTCAGCTCGTTAAAGCTCTTGGTAGTTAGACTAGCTGGTACGCATAAGTCTTTTAGTAGCCTAAATTGTTGAGGCCCTATGACTGTTAACAAAACAGCTCTCTTTTTGGCTTCTATCGTCACGTTGTTAGCTTCTAGGTAAAAGCTTAACCTCTCTAGGTAATCTTGAATGATTTCATCATTCGCATCAAATTGATTTATTTGGCCATACAGCGCCATAATTCTAGAAATAATTAGCTAATAAGCTCTAGCAAACCTCTTTTTGCGTAATTAGGTGCTCTTTCTAGTAGATGTTTATCCTTCGTCGCCAAATGAGGTGGATTGTAATGACTGACGAGAAGCCGCGTTGGTTGTTAACAGCCTTTATTATTTACAGACGCATGATGCAAAGAGAGAGAGAGAAGTGGCCAGAGACAACTATATATAGATAACAACATGTAAGGGACATCACTCAAGATAACAATATAAATATAATACTAATACAGAGAGTGAGTTCCCTTGACCTCACAATTATTTCAATCTATTACACCGTCTAGGTGAGTATGTAATACAATTAAGCTTATCTCTGCTAATACTAGCAGGAAGTGAATACGATTGATGTAGAGCATTTTGTACAAATGCACATCTTTTTATCTGGATTGTGTTAAAAAATCTATGCAAATGTATGGGTGGGAGCAAAGATATATAAATGTACATAAAAATAAAAACATTCTCCACAACTTCAAGAACGTTAAAGTCAGATGGTCAGAATTTAAAAAAAATAATTACCAGTAAACAGTAATCCTTTTGAACAATGATCTTTATAGAGCTCAAAATAATCTACACAAATATAATCGATATAATAGTCGGAATTTAAATCTGAGGTCGCCTGTTCTTATTCAATATGTTCTATGCAATAAATTTGGTTTTGAATATAACTTCATTCAAGGCTTGTTTTATGTCAGCTCCATTTTTTAAGAGATTTTTTTCATACAATAATGTTTAAGCGTTTATAATAATATATTTTATTTTGATTATAGACGATGTTTTTTTTTTGTTTTGTGAAAGCAAAACTTAATGATTTTTAATATTAAAGAATAAAGAAAGGGTCGATCTGGTGAATTTGAAAATTACAATTAAACGAGATTTAAAACAAACGAAAATAATCAAACTCTTAATAAAGATAAATTACGCCTACAGTTTAATATTCCATTATCTGAAATTGTTTTTTATGAGGATTAAAAACATGTTGTGTTGCGTTTCTTGTTATGTTTGTTTTTGTAAAACGTCGTGTTTTTACTGTTCATCGTATTTTATTCTTTTACTTTTATGTTGTTCTAAGAGTGTTTTTGAATGCATTTTTACACCGTAGCGACGTCTGTGTATGTATATAGAAAAGGTTCCATATTATATATATATATATATATATATATATATATATATATATATATATATATATATATATATATATATATATATATATATATATATATATATATATATTGAACTGTTTCTAACTGGCCGTTCCCCCTAACCCGAAAACCTGCTAACGCCGCCGGCAATGTTATACACATTTTGGTATTTGGCGATCAATATTTAAATCAATCGGGAGTGATCTCCCCTAAACTTTCTCTAATATTCTTATACAACATTACGGGAGACGGCAACTCGGGATATAGACATGATTTTTTATTATTTATACTTTTTAACACAGAAGAGAATATTATATCTAGAAAAAAGAATTGTGCACCAAGTGAACGCTGAATAATATGTGTATAATACTGCGTAATATTATTAATACTTTAAAAATTCACATGGGTTTATGAAACATCTCGGAAATTGCGTAAATTACTACTTCCGGTCAACGGAAATTACTCAAAATTTTATATAAGTATATGGCAGAAAAAAACAGTATTCAAGTTTTAGGCTTTTGAAAAATTGAAAGTAGAATAAGTTTCACTTCCGGTTACCGAAAATCGCTGAAAAATTGATACAGAACTACACATTTGATATAATACTTATATATGAAATTTCATCAACCTAGCTGAAATGGTAGTCAAGTTATCGTGTTTACAGACGCTCACATACACATATACAAACACACACACAGACATAAGGAAAAAAATTGCACAACTGTTTTTCCGACGCAGGGGGGGGGGGGTGTAAACGTCGAGATTTGTAAAAATCTCGATTTTTTTATAAATTTTTTTGCACGATTACAAGACTTCCTCTATAGGCCTACTTCGTATACAAGAAAGTAAAATGCCAATTTATTTTTTAATATTTTCTTTCGTTTTCCGCTTTAATGTAATTCACCATTTAGGGGGGTGACACCAAGGCAAAAAATAGCAAAATATATAGAGAAAAACTTGAGGGGGGGGAAGCAAATCGAAAATAGGTGGTGCCCGCCACCCTACCGATATTTTAGAATGTGCTCTAGAGTAAAAAAAAAGGTTGGGAACCCCTGGTCTAGGTCATTTGAGATTCTTGCATTGTTATCGCATAAGAATGAAATGTATCAGGAAAAACAGATCGCTGCGTTAGAAGCGGGTCAAAATTGAGTCACAAGATTTGCAACAAACTCAAAATCAAGCAAACAAAAAAAAAATAAAATAAATAACACCGTGAACTAAATTTCTTCAGAAGTCTATAGTTTAGCCTCAGATCTTAGGCCTAGGCCTATCAAATTTTTTAAATAGGCCTAGTTTAAAATACGGTTTATTAAAAATATTGACTGTCAACGGAAGGCGAAAAATAAACTTCCGGTCCATGCTACCATCATAATGGAGAAAGTAGAAGTGACTGCTGAAGTTCACTTTGCCCAAAAACTAGCTTCAAATGAAAAGAAAATAAGAGATAGAGCTATCAAACGCCTACAAAAGTATTTATCTGTCCGGTCAACAAATGGAGGTATACGCTTACTAGAATATTAATAAGCCAACTTTACAACTTTTATCATCACCCCCAACTAGGCTTTTTGATGCGAATTACAGAATGATTTTTTTTATTAAAAATGTAGGCCTATTAATAATAGCTAGAATACTAGAGTAAAGTGGCGTCTGCGGACAGTCGTAGCAAAAAAAACGGAAGTGCCGATTTCCATTGAGCGCCATTCAGTAACCGCTTCACATAGAAACAAACCGAAAGTACCGTCTCACTCCGCATTCTTTCTAGTTTAATCACGTCTGATTCATTTTGTATTCATACGCATAGCATTGAATGTATTAACATTTTCAGTGGTGAGACTCTGTGCGGACAGTAAGTGCACTTTTTTTTACATTTTATTTTCTGTGCGGACACTTGCTCCTTATGCGGACAAGGCATATTTTGTTCATTTTGTTTCTATTTAAATGATTGCTGAAATAAACATGTTACATACATAAATAGTGTTGTTGATTGTTTTATATATTAATATATTGGAAAACAAAAAATATGAAGAAATATGAAATAAGTTTTAATTAAATTAAAGTGATGCCTGAAAGAAACTAAGGACCCAGTTGAGATTTTATTTCACTTTTTGCTTAGTAGACACGTTTGATGATCAAAAATATTTTTAAAACCTAAAAACATCACTAAAAACTAATAGATCTAGATTTAGACTTAATTTAAATATAAATCTGGAGTATCAAGATTAGTTTAAAGCTCCTTTTTACTTATAGTGTAAGAAATATACTCTGATTTTTCATTAGTGTCCGCAAAAGGTTAACCCTCAAAAAAGATGCGGACACCCCAATTTTTCCTCTAAGATGGCTTAAACAACCTTAACTATGATATTTATAGCTTTCTATATATATATATAAGCTATTTATAGTTAACCCAGTTAACTAAGCTATGATTGGTTCGATTTATTCCTCTAATCCGGGGACTAGTGCTCTTCATCCGGATGAGGTTTCCTACCATAAAACGTCATACATCGCAACTTTGAAAAATTCCAATTAATCTCCCTATTGAGTGAAATAGAAGAAATGGACTCAGATGTGTTTAAAAATGGACATGCTTTGTGTTGTTTGCGTTCGTTTCCTATAAAATATTCATACAATTATTGTTTTAAGCGAAAAACAGCAAGGTGTCCGCACAGAGCCGGACAGAGGCAACTGTCCGCAGACGCCACTTTACTCTAGTAAACTAAGCTAATTTAGCATATTTTAACTTTCTGTGCAAAGTCATTATTACTGAAAAAAATTCCAAAGTCAGGTCAGCCTGTGGCACCCTCCACTGAACTTAAAGAAGGAAAAAAAAACTTGACCCGTGACCTTCATTAAAACAGAATTTACTTATGTTTCTTTTTAACTATTAGTAAACATGTGCTTAATATTACCCAATAAGTAATAAAATTTGACAATTAATTTTAATTACTGTTGTAAAGTGAGATAAACAGCTTAATAAACACGTGTTTTCTTGAGGGGGTGTGACCCGGGCCGGTGTGGCACATCGCATGTAACTTTTTATTTCTGTGTCTTATGACTATTTGTTCACAATCAGCATGCTATGCTTTTAAAATTGATAAAGGGTAAGTATACCAAGCTACAAAACCTAAAATCTGACTAATAATTCATACTTTCAGTAGCTAGGCCAATGCCGCTGCCGAGAAAATCGGACAAATCGGCTTTTCCCTACCCCCTGCATGTTTAACTCTGTTTTTTGCATGATTTTATTGTGTTTATATTAACATGTTATACACCATTCTGTTCGTAATTGAATAACCTTTTAAACAGTATAATTTTGATTTTAATATGATTTCAAACGTTGAAGAAATCGCCGATTAAATCGCATTTTTTACCCTCCGCGGCGACGTGCCGATTAGGGGGGAGGCTTTTTCGCCTTTTTAAAACAGGGGTGTTACTTTGAGTCTATAGACTCTTCGAGTTTTCGTACTACAGCTGTGAAACTTGGCAGAAATACAGATTAGATGTAGACGTATACAGCGCAGGGTTCGTCGTCAAAATATATTAAATACTTTTGGAGATATCGCTGTCTGACTGAACCGCTCGGCTGTGCTTCGAATCGCCCTCTTTAAACAGACGACGTGTTACAAAATATTTATACACGAATCGAGTTTACATACTACAACAGTGAAAGTTGACAGAAATACAGATTAGATGTAGACATATACAGCGCAGGGTTCGTCGTCAAAATATATTAAATACTTTCGGAGATATCGTACAGCAAAGTTGAACCAAGTTTCCCGGGTTATTTATAGACCGATTTTTAATTTGAACCCTGCGCTGTATTGCTGAAATCTGGACGTTTATTTATATGTATGATTTTCTCTACAATACCCCCAAATAAAGCCGCCCATACATTTTAAAATGGAGCAAAAATTAAAATTAACGCGCCGACCGCTGTCCGACTGCGTGCTCTGCTGTGTCGATCTACACACCGTGTGGCACACCCGAATGCCTGGTCACGTGACGCTGGGCGGTCGATCCGATTGGATGATACTGTAAACAATTTCTAAAGATAGATAGGCCTACGTGTGTTCCCATGTTAGACTCGACGGCTATTTCTATTTTATATAGATTAGATCTATAAGCCGACAGGCATGTTTCATAATTTTGTCCTTACCCATTTAAAGGGGAAAAAAGTCTTATTAATATTTACGGCTCAGGTTTCAAATTTATCTTGTTTTTTAAATTAATCCAGATGGTTACTGTCCGATTATAACAGTTCTGCGTTTCGCGTACCCTAATTTCATTTAAAATTAGAGCATTTCTTTTTCATAAAAACGGCTTTAATTTTTTTCCTGGTCCCCCTTTTTTCACTACACATTTAAATACGCTTAACAACGTGGAGGATACTACTTACTAGCCTGTAATAATTGACCAAAAAGGGATGGGGTGGGTGTGGGTGGGCATTCTGTATAACACCCAACGTAACACCCATAGCCTACGTAAGCCTCACCCCGTCCCCACTAGTCCGTGACGCGACGAGCCGATGGTCGTCGCCTTTGATGTTGTACAACACCCGTACAGTACCTACTCAGTTCGTGGTGGATTCATACCCCACCTACCTCCCCCTTCACTTTGTGGAGTTGATGTTACTAACCCTCGGGCATAGATCAAGAAATCTTGCCAGACTTTTGTCTCTGAAAGTACATAATATTCGTCTGACACGTTCATCGGGTTGGCCGACTAGCCTATCCAGCGGTCGTGTTTACGTAATAGGGCAATAAAATTCGTTGGTCAGAAGATCTGGCTAGTCAGATTAAACAAAATCTAGGCAAAAGCCTTTTGGTGGTACACGTGTCTGTGTATAGGCACACACCGTAATCTTACACAATTTCTAGAATCTACTAGATCTACACAGTCAAGCACTCAAACACGTGCTTTTTTCTTTAGAAAGTTTTTAATTGTAAAAGGCCTACTGGTAGACCTACAAAAATACATAAGACTACTTACTACTAGCATAAACATTGGGCTTAATGAAATATAATTTATGTTATAGACCTATAACTTACACTAGATCTATACCTTGTGCAAGTTTTTAAAAAAAATTTTTCCTCCAAAAAATATTTTATTGAAATTGTAAAAAGGAATAATTTTAATATGGGTAATAATATTACGTAATTATCATAAAGCACACTCTGATTCTGATCAGACACATTTGTGACTAGACTAATTTTATAGCAAAATAACAAGAAATATAATTATAATGAAATAGGCCTAAATTTTGGAATAGAGTAGGCCTAAAGTATTGGACATAGATTACATAACATCTTTTAAGAAGTTACATAATCACAAATTTACTATTGTAATAGCATTCTTCTCTTTGTATTGTAAAACTTGATTAGTATTTTCTTTTAGTAGGCTATTAACTTGAAGTTAACTGACAATGAGCAAAAGTGATTTCAAAACTAATTCATGGTATATTTTGAGCAAAGGGTGGTATTACATAACCTTAACATTTGATAGTTATGTAACAATGTTGGACCATTTTAAATACTACCATTAGCTTCAGCATATATAAATGTCATATTATAGATTAAAACAGTGTTACATTTAAACAATGACTTCTTATCACATTGATTATTAGATGTTTTAAAAAAATTGAAAGGGGGGTATTACATAATCTATGAGATTAGTCGATTGTGTAATCAAAGGACACTTTTTAAAATAGCATCATTGGATTCGGCATACAAAAATCTATAAAATACCATAACATGACATCAATTGATGAAGTCTGCTTGCTTTAATACCACTTTTAGTGAAAAACTCTTAAAAATTTGGTCCATACCCTCCCAGTATTTTTCCTCTTTCAGGGTCTACCCCGGTTGTCTGAAAAAACTGCTGTTTTTTAATGACAAAAAAATTCATAACTTTTTTGTTTATGGTCAGATTTTGAAAATTTAAACTGATCTGTAATCAGATTGACAGCCCCTATCCAAATATGTAACTATTATATTGTTTTACTGAAATTAAATTTTTGCATTGGCCTAGCTACTTTCAGTTTAAAAAATAATAAAAACGATCATCAATGAAGAAAGCGTAAACATTCTATTTTTAGGTGTGACATAAAAAAACAGTCATAAACCTAGCCAAATGATTGGATTCTTGCGCGGCACACATTTTCCCGCGCCTCGTGTTCACCAAAAAAGATTATAATAAAATGGCATTATTACTTGAACGGACCACATCTCATTCCGACCATAAGTTATTACCAGTTAATTGTAATGTGTGTAAAATTGATACTTTCAAGTTTCATATACACATAGTTTGGTTTATTATACACGGGGTATTTTAGAGTTATTTGATTCGAAAGATGAGAATTATATAGAGCTACTTTCACTAAGGCGCCGCTTGCGAGACAAACAAAGAAATTAGGCCAAAAGTAGATCCGACAATTCTTAATTAATAGACTTAAATAGAAACGGATAGTTCCGATTTCTAAAATTAACGATGGCTTCGTAATCATTAGTTTTATCCCTCTACCCATTAGTGAAAGCGAAACTGGTCGCCATTTTTGGTAAGCGCATGAGCCGTGAGCTGGCTTCAAAACAACAAACCCGGAAGCTGTGAATCGAACGGCCTACCCCCAACGCTAGTCGGTAAAACTCCATTTTCATTTTTAGCGTATTTTATTCCCCGCTTGACGTTCACCTCCAGTCAGTAGCGTAGCGGGGGGGGACATATGTCCCCTGGCGCCGACCTTAGGGGGCGCCAAAATGGGTTAGAAAAATAAATTGAAAGGTTGAGGGGGGGGGTGCAAATCGAAAGTTTGAGGGGGGGGGGGGTTGCAAATGGAAATCTCGAGGGGGGGGGGGGTGCAAATCGAAAGTTTGTCCCCGGGCGCCGGGAAGGGTCGCTACACCTCTGCCTCCAGTTTCCAGTTGAGCGTATTTTATTGTTAACACAACCGAAACATACAAAAATGTTAGGAAAACACAGATCTACTTATTTTTTTTTTTAATGAATGCCATTTTTTTTATTAGAAAAGGTAAAAAAAACATAAAAAAGCATCAGAACTGTTCCAATTAAATATCATGTGATCGTCAGCGGGAGAAAAATCCTTACACGGTCGCGGGTTCACCGTGAGTTCACATTGACTTTAATTATTAGTTTTTCTCACTAAATCTAGAATTTACGCAATTATCAATTTAAACATGACCACTGAATAATAGACATCCATATTTAATCCATTAGGCACTAACTTTGGAGTTTTTAGTTCGTTTTAAACTAAATTACTTAATTTAATATTTATTGTCAATCACTGCCATGTCCAACACATCTCTCCATGACAACTCTTCTTAAGCTTGAAGCTAAATAAAACCACAAATCAAGTTAGACTTTTTAAGTGGCCATGCACAAGAGTTCCTCACTAGTGATCACCAAATAGTGGTCACGTGTTTTTTTTTTTCAAAAAAAATTTGGTTGTCATTTTTTCAGCTGGTCTCATAAAAAAACGGTTGTCGATTTTTGATTTATTTTTTCATAGACTGATAAAACTAATAATGCTTTAGTATGGAAATCAATTTTGTAATATGGAAATCGATATTTAAAAAGTTCTAGTATTTTTGATGAAACCAACTTTTAAATTTAGCCTTCATTCTCCAATGCAAATTTTAAAATGCTTTTCTGGCATATATAGCCTTGCCACCTATAGCTTGTTGTTATAACGTGAAAGTCCCGCCATTTTGCGCATGGTAAACATTTTAAAAACTAATTAGTAGAAGGTCTCTGGAATTTGTCCGAAAAATCGTCGGAAGTCAAGCGTCCGGTCCGGGCGCCATATTGTTGTTAGGTTCGGTCGGTTGCTAACAACAATATGGCGTCTGGACCGGGCGCTTGACTCCCGACGATATTTCGGACAAATTCCAGAGACCTTCTACTAATTAGTTTTTAAAATGTTTACCACGCGCAAAATGGCGGGATTTCCGTGTCATAACAACAAACCAAAGGTGGCAGGGTTAGATATGCCAGAAAAGCAGTTTAAAATTTGGTTTGGAGAACGGAGGCTAAATTCAAAAGTTGGTTTATTTAAAAATACTAGAATTTTTGAAATATCGATTTCCATTTTACAAAATTGATTTCCACAGTAAAGTATTATTAGTTTTATCAGTCTATGAAAAAATAAATCAAATATCGTCAACCGTTTTTTTATAAGACCAGCCAGAAAAATGACAACCACTATTTGGTGATCACTAGTGAGGAACTCTTGTGCATGGCCACTTAAAAAGTCTAATCGAATGTGTGGTTTTCTTTAGCTTCGAGCGTAAGAAGAGTTGTCATGGAGAGGTGTGTTGTGCATTTTTGTGAGTGTCAATAAATATTAAATTAAGTAATTTAGTTTAAAACTAACTTAATACTTCAAAATTAGTGCCTAATGAATTAAATATGGATGTCTATCATTCAGTAGTCATGTTTAATTTGAAATTTGGGTAAATTCTAGATTTAGTAAGAAAAACAATTATTTATAGTATCATGCCAGGGAGATACTTGTAACATTCCAAGCTTAACCGCCTTGCAATTGTGAGTTACGTTTACGTATTTCACCCATTGCCATGAAAATTCTGACACACGATCATTGCACATTCAGTATTCTAAATTTGGATTTTTCTCAACTGTTAACAAAAGTAAATTATCATATCTTAAAGAAAGTCAGTCTCTTTGTTTTTTTTTATTTATTTTTATTTATTTGTTAAAACAAAAATACAATACAAATAATAAATCGTGTTTTCCTAATGTTTTGGCGTGTTTTGGTTGTTATAATAAAATACGCTCAACTGGAGGTAAACAAGAAGCGGAGAATAAAATACGCTAAAATGGAGTTTTACCACGCTAGTCTCCCAAGGTCCCTTACTCAAAGCTAGGTACTAGGATAAATTTTGAAAATTGGTTTAATAGGGAGTCACTTATTTTTAATAACTTTATATAACTGCTGTTATAAATATTACCAGTAGGCCTATTCAAATATGTGCCCTAAAAATGCAAAGAATAATAATTAGGCTATGACTTAATTTACTTATTAGTCCTCTTTGCTGCCTATGGAACATAGGGCCTCCACAATTTCCTTACATTTCATCTGATCCCCGGCTATTAATTTAGCAGTCTCCCGGTTGGCTTCAGTTCTCAAAGCATGAAGATTCTGCTTTACTTAATGAAAATCACTGCTTTAAATTGATGTTACTGTCATTCTCCTCCTCTTACAAGCTGCATGCTTTCTTGAATTTGGTTTGGTATCTCTGTTTTTAGACATTTTATGGTCAAATTTAAAGGTTATTTTGTTCTTCTGTATAGTTATTCACATTTCTGTAAAAAAAAAAGTGTCAGCTATGTATTACAGCACTAAGGTTATAAAATGAGTATATATTTTTAATACACACACATATATTTATATATATATATATATATATATATATATATATATATATATATATATATATATATATATATATATATTATAAATAGTCTATAAATTGTCTGTATATATACAGATATACTATAAATAATATACTATAAATTGTCTGTAGCTGAAACAAGATGGCAGCTGACAAAAAGCTTATTTGCTTAGATCGGGGAAAAGTTCATGAAAAATATTTCTGTCATGTTTTTGAACGTTGTATAATTTAATTAAAAGGTTAAATGGTTTTTCTGTAGTTATTTAACTTTTTTGCTCAAAGAATTATTTTGTATTTATGTTAATAATAGGTTTAAACTGACCTAATTTCTCTTTGAATTTACCTGATCCAAATGAAAAAAAAACGGAAAAACATATTTTTACTATATTTTTTACAAAGCTGATCTTCCCCAGTACAGAAAACATGGTAGAAATGTCAGGAAATAAGAGTTCTTAATTCTGAAAAAAACAAAGAGTGCCCCAAAAAAACTGCAAGGAAGCAGTTATATTTTGTAGTTTTCTCTTCTAGATGGGTTGCTATTGAATCCCATCTGAACAATGTTTGTGTGTTTCGCAATATCGTATTGTTAAATCATCTTTCATTTACACTACATTCTCTAAGCAATAAACGCATGCTTATAACAGTTTTGTAATACATTATTAGCAGGTTTAAGTGATGCTGACTTGTTGAAAATATGGAAAGGACTCCATTATTGCATGTGGATGCAAGACAAACCTTTGATCCAGGTGGGTTTTTATAAATATAAGCCTTAGTATTTGCTACACTTGGATAGAAATTCAAAACAATGCAAAAGTTTATTTTTAAATATAGTAGTTAAGTTTTTTCTTACTTTGGGTTAATCTTCTTTTCTAATTCAAGTGATATTGTTTGTATAAACAGGAAGAGTTGTCACAGCGCATCACAAACCTTATCCACTGTTTCCCAAGCACTGGCTCTGCTCTTGGATTTGTTAGAATTTTCTTTGAAACTCAAGCCAGAGAGTGGAATGGCATCGACAGACTTAGACTGGATAAATTCATGATGGTTAGGTTTTGTTTCACTTAGTGGCTTTTGTATGATAGTAGGGTATTGGGCCTTGTGTTTTCTACTTAATATGAACTAAGAATATTTACTAAACTATTCCTTTTTAAATAATGATGTGGATATTCTTTTGTATTTGATTATTTTAATTAATTTGTGGCTTGTGCTTCCTTTGGTGTAGAACTGAGTTTATAATTAACATATATATTTGTACATAATCAATGTTGCTCCTTCAGATGGTGAGGGACATGCTGCACCAAACTTTGACCCTGTTGAGTAAAGAAGGTTGGCCTGCTGAGGAAAGTTTTATGTTTGCTAAACTCCTTCACAAAACAGTTATGCAGTATGACCAGGCTCAGTTACCTGATGGACTGAAAATTCACCTTGCAGATATTTACATTGATGAATTGGGCAAAGTTTCATTAGAAAAAGTATGTTTATTGTGGGTGTCTGTGTATGTTGAAATCTTTTTTTTTTTTAATATGTAAATCAATAATTTCTGTAATGTTGTTGTTTATTTGATCTAAATTTGCATGCTTGCTTTAACTTTGGTGCTTCTATACATTTGCAGATGACCAGCAAGATTATGTTGATTCTTCTTGGACCTTTTATCCATTTTATCCTTCATTCCAACAAGTAAGTATCCCGGTCATTACACTGATTACCAAAATTGTATATGATGCAAATCTTGCATCTATTGATTTCCTTTTAGTTGACAATATAAACTCATGGGAGCTAAAATAAACTAGTTGAACTAACAGTTTTATCAAATGGTTCTTTTATTTTTAAGGATTGAATTGGTCAAACGCATGATGCTAGATGTGGTCTACAGAGCTGTCAATACATTCACTGATGGTGTTAAAATTAAGCCTATTTGGGAAAAGAAACCTATAAAAAAGAAAAAGTGTGTGAGAAGACACCCAAAAGGCGTCAAAGATAATAAAGAAAATAGTGGTAATGATGAAGAAGTTATGGAAGTGGAGGATAGCCAGACAGTTGAATCTGAAGACACACAGCCCTCGTTTGTGGTAACTTTTTTTTTCATTTGTGTTTACTCATGTTATAAATGTGTACAATGTTAATTTTCATCCAATTAACTTAATGTGGTAGTACATGGTTGTGTAAGAAAAGATGATGGGGCAGTTGGTGGGGCATTCTTGAGTCCACCCAGCTCTGATAGGTATATGACTTTGGTTAAGGAAAGTATAGGTAGCTGGGCATAGAAATGATCACACTGAAATGCTGAGGTCACAGAAACAGATAAACTCTACTTCATCTACCCTATGGGCCAACTGGTAGGGTACTTAACATAGTTGTGTATTAGTGTACATGACTATCAAGTAGATTTTTTGGATCATGCCCTGTAATCCATCAAACAAGGAAAATACTGAACATACTACATTTATATGCACCTTTATCTGGTAATTAGAGTAGTTAAGATAAATATATATCAAACCCTTATTGATGTATGTTACTTGGCCTAAGTGGAATCTCATCTAGGTTTATGTTATTTATGTGCTGTATTATTTTGTTTCTTCCACAGTTAGATAAAAGGCTTTTGCTGTTGCTGCTCTTTAGCCAAGCAGAGAATAAGTCAACACGTGCACCAAACAGAGCTGTGGTCTACAAATTTGTCAAGAAATATCCAGAGGAAAATGAAGGCCTAACCAAAATGCTAGATAGTCTCAACAGGTATTTATACATTTTTGTATGTATTACTCTTGTTAGAAAGTGGTATAAGTATTATCTCCTTTTACAATGTGATAATAGTTCTTTAAAACAAGTTGAATTTGATTTTCATCAACTCCCTCATGCATTACCGGTTGATGATTTTCTTTCTTTCTACCATTTGCAGAGATGTAATGTTTCCATCTTTTCCTTTATAAAAATATATTTCCTCTGAAAAAGAAAAAAGGTATTTTTCTACGGACCATCTTTTTTCTTAATCAAAATGAGAAATCTTTCCTGCCTCATCAGTTGGGCTGTAGGCCTAAATTTTGTTACACGATCTATCAGGGTCTTTTTTTAAATTATTATTTAAGCTTAAATTGTTATTAGACGTCGTTGAAAAATTTAAAAAAGCTAAAAAAATATCATGTTTGAGCAAAATATGCACTGTCACTTCACCAGTAATTAAAAATCTGCTTTTTTTTTCTTTGGCTTTCTGGTACATCTCTGCATTTGTTCGGGCTAACATTTACTGCTGTTCTTCTTTAACTTACAATTTACATTCCTTGACTTGGGATTTTTATTATTAATATAGGAAGCCTGTTTTTGTCTATAAGTGTTTTTATTAGTTTTTATATATTTCTTTGTTTTCTTTAAAAATAGAAATGAAATAGTGTCAGATGCAGATGATCTTCGCAGTTTAAGTTCTACTCTTCTCTATGATGATGGGAAGGCCATGGACAAGCAGCAAAAAAGAAAGAAAAAGCGAGGAAAAAAGAAGAAAAGAGAAATGGAAGAAGATACTGATGGTTGCAGTATATCAGGCACCATATGTTCTCCTCAAGAAGATAGCAGCCATACCCTTGTGTCAAATTCTCACAGTAAACTTGAAGAGACAAAACTAATTACTCCATCTAAGTTTGAGAAAACAGGAAAAAAACCAAAACAGGCTGTTGCTGGTAGTAATACTGTGAACTCAATGACTCTTTTAAAGGATGTTAATATCAAAGGAAAGTCTTTTATCTTTGTAGATAGATTAGAAGGAAGTGTTACCAATGGTAGCTTAGATGGCAAGGTTACAAAAAAACGCAAGCGACTATCATCTGGTGAGGATGGTACTCCTGGGTTACCAAGTAAAAAGTCAAAGCTGTCTGTCCCAAACAAGTTGAATACACAGTCTGAAATGGTGGAAACATTGACCAAAGATGAAAATACCAATTCAAATGCTAGGCCTAGAAGTAGCAGCCCACCCAAGTCAGATAGCAAAGCCCTCAAAGCTGGTAGATTGACCAAGAAAGCACGTACGGTCTCAGTTTCTCCTTCACCCAAGACAAAATCAAAGAAAAAGGATGAGGAGACTTATGAAAGTTCGTCCTTATCATCGATATTTACCACTCCTGTGCAAAATAAGAAAGGCACTAAAGGAAAATCCCCAGCAACTTCCTCTAAAAGCCCAGACACAAGTGAGCCTAAATCTAGTATGGTTGACGAGCTGGTTGGTGACCTGTACTCGGTTATCTCAGGATCATGCAGTATGGTGAAGAAAGCCATTGGCTTTGTCAGCAGCAACACAGATCCTGGACCAAGCAATACAAACTACAAAGTCAAGGTAAGTTTCTTGCCTTTGTTAACCGGGAATCCTTTGGCCCACTCGTGCACTAGTACATAGTCGCAGGCCTCCATAGCCCTTGTTCAAGTATATAAAATAATTTTTGTCCCTTTTCACCTTTCAGTCGCATTCCACCCCTGGTGTATATATGACCCCGGGCAATAAAAAGAAAGTAGTGTTTGACCTTCGCAAAAACAGAGCAAACAGTAAGTTTTACCAGAACATAATGGGGTTGAGTGTTTTATAGGAAGAAAAAGAATATAACACCCAGATATTAGCTAATGGGTAAAGTATATTGTTTTGGAAATGAACACCTTAGTCTCTAGATATCCAAACATTTAGTTTACTCCCATCATGTGTAGACTGGTAGGTTTTCAGACTTAAATTTTTAGTTTCCAACCTTTATGACCACACTAACATATTGTCTCTTATGCTCTTATGTATCAGGTAGCTTGCTACCAATTCTTGTAAATTATCAAATCAATTGTGCCATGTCTCTATTTGAAGTTACCTTTGGCACATTTCAAGTAATTTAATTCTTTATTGATACAATTCTATGTAATCTGGATATTTAGAGAAAAAAAAAGCTGATAATGACATGTTGTTATCATATAAAAAATGTGTAATGTTTTGACTTTTGTTTTCAGAATTCCAAGACTACTTAAAGAGCTTAGCCAAGCAGCCTGAGCCACCTTATGAACCATCAAAGAGTCCATCTGTTGGCATTCTAAAGTCACCAGTCTTGTCAAACGTGACACTTATTTCAGAAAATAAGTCAGACTCTGATATATCAGAATTATCACAGACTTGTAAAACAAAGAAAAAAACAAATGTTCCCAAGTCCAGGTCACCAGGTGGGCTAAAAAAGAGCAGATTAGTATTATAACCTAAGCAGTGTTAGTTGAGTGTTAGCTTGGATGAATCTCTTTTGTTTGTGGATTTTCATTTACAATTGTTGTCATTTTCTAAGTAGCTTTAGACTTGATTTTTAAAAGTTTTTTTTTTTATGTCTAGAGTTTTAATACTTAGAATTAAAGTTTCAACAACTATTTTATGTGTAAGTGTGTTGTGTGCTGGTTTAAGTAAAGTCATTTGAACATTTAGTTATCTGTTGAAGCCCCATCTCTGGTCCAAGATTTTAGTGAGGTCTGCCTGTTCTGCTTGTAAATAATTTTAAAGGTTGTATGGTGCCTTACCATCCCAATGTCTTCCACCTTTGCTTATGAAATTATACAAGGTGGACTATTTCTTATGGAGTTTTAGGTTATTTTGTTTTATTTGATGTTCATGTTTATAAAGTGTTACTGTACCAGTGAATTATGTTTTCATTGCAAATATTGTTTTATTTAATTGATTTTTTTTTTAAAATTACATGCTCATCAATAAATATAAAAACTCCCTAATGACAGTTTTGCTTGTATTGTGAATTAGTTTTTGTGCATAGCCAATATACTTTTGTTGCTCACAAGGTCAGCTTTGTGTTAATGTAGCAGTTACGTTTTAGAGATAAAAAGCGAGTTTATTAATTTGGGTTTAGAACTAAACTAATGTATAATTACTAACAGGAGCTAGAAGTGTGAAAAGGAATGTATACAGTAGCAGAGCACAGAGATAGAGCTAAGAATTTGATAGGTATCCTCATCCCTGGTTTCTGTGAAAGTGGTCTAAAGAGTTGGCAGTAGGTGAGGACTTGCATCTTTCTGTTCTCATGTTTACTTGCCATTTTAATTACAGGTTCAAATTTGAAATTAAATAGTAATTTTGTTGAATTAACTAACTTTTAATACCTGCTACTTTTACAGAAATCTCAAAACAGCAAAGCAAATTGTATGAATTTTTTGAAAATGTCCTATTCAACTTGGTTTTAAAATACTGTAACTGGTTAAAGACAGCTTAGTAACCTCTTGATTACTTGCTAATGGTGCTATCTTCAAGTCTGATCTTAAATATTTTCTCTCACTGGAGTTTAAAGCACAAAGCCTTGCAGGTTTCTTTTTGGAAATAAAGTGAATGCTGCTAAATTAGGACTTGTTTTAATTCTTTTTAAATTTAGTTGGTTTTTTTTACATTTCTGGGCAGCCTATCCCATCTATGAATAGGGTTGAAAATTTAAGAAAAAAAGTATTGTTAGTACATATATAATTACTGTTTTCTAACATTACTGCAAACAATATTATGAAAATTTTCTAAATGTGATAGCATTTTAATGAGGGGTCAGTACAAAACAGTTCATTTTGTTGTACTTAGTTAATACAGAATAAAAGTACTGAAAATACTTTTTGCTAGACAGATTAACTTTGTACTAATACTAGTAATTGCAAGACCAAATACTATGTGACTGGCTATTATTAAGTTCCAAAAATAGCCCATTATTAATAGATAAAAACAAGAAAATACATCAGTCCGTCTCACTTTTTGTCAATTACATTATTTGTATTTTATTGCACAAGTGAACTAAGAGATCAAAACAAAAATAGTATGTGACTATTTACATTTACTTTATTCAGTTTTTTTTTTAAAAAGTATATTAAAAAAATATAATTTTAAAAGTACAAATGCTAACCCTTTATTCTTACTACTTCACTTTGTAGTAAAATTTATGAAAATGTATAAGATAAATCCATAGTTGTTTTTTCTTTAAAAATGTGTTAAAAAAATATCCAACCCTAACATAGCTAACAATTTTTAAAAATCAAGCTTACCAGGTTTTTTTCCCTATTCTTTTACATTGATATAATAAAATGCCTAATACTGATCAAACTTTTTTTACAAATAGTAAAAAATAAATCTCAACATTTGTAAGTTTTAAAAAAAAAAGTTTTTTTGATGTTGTTAGGCTGCATGTACTCATTACAAAAGTTTATTTTAGTTTGTAAATTATTCCATCACAATCCATCGATTCAGTAATGGCACATTTACTTCCCTTGGCCTGTTTCAACAGTAGTCTCTCTGTTGACGGACAACATTCACATCATCTACATGCATTTGGTTGATGTCATAAGAGGTCAAGGCTGCTGGTGATTTACATTGTGGACTTCTTGCCTGCAAATTTTAAAAATAATTAACAACATACACTTAAGAACTCTGAACTATAAAATAGCGCATGTAACTGCAGGGTTTAGTTCAGTAGAAGAAAATCTGTTTTATAAACTTTTTGTTTAATATCTTAAACATGTACTTTTAATGAAACAAAGCTAGATGTATAATTGTCTAGATATACAACCTGACATGTTAAATAGATTATAGTAATTATAGTATTATTATATTATACACCTTTTTAAAATAAAGATTTGGACACCCAGTAATGTTGGTTTTGAGTGCTGCTACCATTAGCTCTGAGAACACCTTTGCTACCAGCCACTGTCATGATGTACTTGAGGTCAATTAAGTTATCTATTGTTAGAGCAAACAGAAGAACAGAAAACTTACCCTTGGCCATTTGAGAGTTTCTCTGCTTTCTTTCCTTGAAATAGCCCTGGGCTGATTATCATCGTAATGAGTTCTCTCCACATGAGAGCACGGCTCAACACAGGTAGGACTGCCCCTGGCTCCACTAGCAGGTACACAGGTGATGCCTGCAGGTCTCTGATCTTCTGGTGCATCCAGCTTCACTGGGAGGGGCTCCACTGTCTGTTAAAAGAAGGTTGATTAAATGAGTTGAGTATTTATACACTGCAAGCATACACTTTTTCAACAAGCTAATTTCAATGGTTTTCAATTTGGGTGCATTTTTTTTTGGGGATAAAACAAAGAAATAGCAATTTAAATTGAATCAGTTACAATTTCAATATGTGTAGTGTTGTGAAATGGATTTTAAAAATGGATAACACGCAGTAATGTTTTAAATTGACTGTTTTTTTATAAATAAATATTTACATGGCATGGTTTAAGAGCTCCACTTAGAACTTCATCACCAGTTTCCTTCAGTTTTTGTCCCTTAAGCAAAGCTTCATCTGTTCTTGCAGTTGGAACAGTAATTCTGTTACCTAAAATAGAAATTTAGACGAATAGCAAACACTTCTATATAAAAAGACTTGCTTAAGTTACTTATGTTGCTGAAACAATTAAAAGTCTTAACATTCTAAGAGTAAACTAAAATTGAAATTTAATCTTCATTACCTGGAATTTTGTGTGGCATGTCCCAGGTGCCAACAAAGGTTCCCCATGGAGACTTTCTTTCCTTAGCAATATTAGTGAGTAAGTGTCCACGGTCATTTGCTATGACTCGGGTAAAGCCTGTGTTGGCTTTTGGATGCTGCAAATTTATTTTTTAATAAACCAAAAGTAGTAAAATATCTATTTTCTAACCATGTCCTATTTTGTGGTCACAGTCTTTGATGCGAATGGTAAATCCCATAAATGGCATAATATACTGAATTAACTATAAGGGTTAATGTTGCATGTGAGTATTTATGCATCATAAGGAATTTTGTGGTAAGTTAACTTAATGTTTTAGTTTTTGAGTATTACAAAAAATATAACTGCTTTGTTTGTTGGTGCATAATATTTTACATATAGATCTAATCAATTTAATTACTCTGCACTATTTAAAAAAGTATTTATTAGTTACCTTTCCCTCTGGAATTTGAGGGACTTCCCAGTTCTGTATTCGATGGGAAGTAAATGCTTGTTCATACTGTAGATGTAGAGACATAAACATAGTAATATTAATTCATATAATTACATGGTTATATAGTAGTTAGATATTTTTATTTCATATTTAATGAAATGTTTGCTTTAGCTCATCTTTTACTTCCAGTTTCTGAAGATTACAGATCTAAGACATTTAAAAACAAAAAATTTAAAATATTTATTTTAATTATTTTAGTCTTTATTGAAATTGTAACGTGTTTGCTGACACAAAATGTAAAGTTTTTCTTCTCTTCTGTTTCTTGCTCTCACTCTCAGTCACAGACGATCAAAAATAATCATCTTCTGTAAATCTTTATTCTGACTATGCAAAAAGTATCTTTCTTGACCGGGAATTGTCTGTGTAGCGTGTATCTAAGAAGACTAAAGCGACAACACGTGTGCTGCATAAATTACTGGCTAGGGCCATCATTTCTCCATCCCCTCTAAGGCTAACCTACACCAAATAATTCTATATAAAAAACTTAACGCGATCTCCTAAAATTCTAATAAACTTATCATCTGAAACCACAGACAATTCCCTTTATAATAATACAAATTATATAAACCATCAATAATTTTTCTTAAACAATAATACTTCAAACATGCAAGTAACATGAAAATGTCATCAAATACACCTAATTAAAGTAGATTTCCATAATAAGATATTCTAATTAAAGATCTAGCTTGGCCTATTTGTATCCAACTTGTATGCTATATTAACAACTATTTATTAAGATACGAGTTTTTCTACTAAGCACAGTTCACTCATTCCTAACAAATTCACTACACTCTCAGTCTAGCTTAATCTCTAGGAGACAATTAAGTTATGCAAAGCTGTACTCAATGCCATGGGAAATCTTCAAGATTAGGCCTAAATGAGTAAATATTGACTAATAGTATTAATAAAGATTTTAAGATTCTTGAGTGGTTACTAATACTAATAATTACTAAGCTAATATTAGTAATAACTTACTCTTAGTAATAAGTGTAAGAATGAAGAATGTATGTAACGATACTAGATCTAAAAGATTAGTAGAGAAACTTAAATTAACTTATTTTTTTCAATACTATGATAAGTTATTTATAAAATTATTAGTCTAAAAATGAAGCGGTTAAGTAAAGTTCGCTAGTTCTAGGAGTAGGACACGGAAGTGAGGTAAAACTCCATTTTAGCGTATTTTATTCCCCGCTTCACGTTCACCTCCAGTTGAGCGTATTTTATTATAAACACAACCGAAACACACAAAAACATCAGTAAAACACTAGATCTACTTATTTTTTTTAATGAATGTGATTTTTAATTACAAAAGGTAAAAAAAAACACATAAAAAGCATTAGAACTGTTCCAATTAAATATCGAATCTCGTGTAATCGTCAGCGGGAGAAAAATCCTTACACGGTCGCGGGTTCACCGTGAGTTCACATTGACATTGAATTATCAGCATACGTCATAGCTCGGGCTATTGCTATTTGAAATTGTGTGGGCCTCAGTTTTGGGGTCATTGTAAGTTCATTAATGTTTATTTATAGTATCATGCCTGGGAGATACTTGTAACAATACAAACTTAACCGCCTTGCAATTGTGAGTTACGTTTACCCATTGCCATGAAAATTCTGACACACTAACATTGCACATTCAATATTCTAAGTTTGGATTTTCCTCAAGTTTTAACAAACTAAATTATCAAAATCTAAAACAAAGTCAGTCTCTTTGTTTTTTTATTCATTTTTATTAATTTGTTAAAACAAAAATACAATAGTCAATACATTCAATACAAATAAATGAATCGTGTTTTGGTGTGTTTCGGTTGTTTCTGTTGTTATAATAAAATACGCTCAACTGGAGGTAAAATAAAATACGCTAAAATGGAGTTTTACCCTGAAGTGACTTCACTAGGTCATTTTTTTCAAAATTTTAAATTACATTTTCAACGACTGTCATATTATAAATTAGTGTTATAGACTTTATCAACTTAACTAAGATTTTATATGCTTACTTGATTGGCATGAAAATTTATGCTCATCCTTTATGAATTTCGATATATACTATCTACTTTTAAAGGGTAAGAGAAAGCGAAAACACCATTGATAACGCTTGTTGTCAACCAAATGCTTCATACGTTGCTATGAAATAGTTTCGCATAAAATGTTGCCATATAAAAACACTTTTCTATAACTGTATTTTTAAATTAGGCATTTTCAATTTAAATAATAAGAGTTTATTTCTAAGTGATATATTAATATATAAAACCCGAAAATGTGTTTTAAGTTAGGTTTAGTTGATCTTGATTTACGTTTTCTTTTTCTCCGAGATTAGCAATTACAAACCTTGATTTGATATCCGGTTAGGCTAAGAACAGTTGTAGGCCTAGTTGTAGATTAAGAATCAGTATTTTAATGAAATAATAAAACTGACTCAGCGTTTAAAATGACATTTTTTCATTTTGGGAATTGCGTCGCTCTCGCTTATGTGCCTTATGTCATTGTCTACAAATGTTCTGGGCTGTAAGCATTGTTTTAACTTCAATAGTTTTTGTTGTTAGTGATTCACATTTAACTTTTCACAAGTTACCAAGTTCATACGACGTCATAAACCGCTAATTTACTAATTTTAATTTAATATTAATAATTTTATTTTATTTTGTTAAATGACGATAAATGTCAGAATGTTGCCTGACTAATGAATATATTATCTATCTATATTATATATAATTCTCTTCTTGGATACCCTAGAAAACACCAAGATGTAAGCAGCCCCCTCTCTTCCTCTCTAAGCATATCCCTACCCCCCCCCCCCCCCCCACCCCCAAATGGTCTGGTTAGCTGTGGTTCACGCTAAAAGTTTCCAATCGTAGAGCCAGGTTTAGTGACGGCTATTAGGGGCAAATAATTTAGCTTGAAACTATTTTAAACTTTTGGGAGGTAACTAAGAGAAGGCTGCTTTCACAGGGGGGAAGGGGGTAGGGTTGGGGAAAGGGAGGGGTTATCGTCCTTAACGACCTACTAATAGTGTTTTAAAGCAAATATTTTCAGTGGCAGCATTGCTGCTGTGAAATTCACAAATTATGAATTACTGCTAAGTAGTAAAATAAAACAACTAAATAGCAGCGTATGATATGCCGCGGGTCGGCTCGTAAAGTTATAAAATGTGATATGGCTGCTGATGATCACCCTTCCAGACCCCACTCTACTCTACCAGTCTACATCTACTTCTGCGTCTCTTTCTACCTTACCTTGCTTAAACCAGCTTGAACTTTCAAACTAGATTTTCTGTCTACAGTGTCTAGCACCGGGCGTAGTTTTTGTCTAATCAAGAATGTATTTAATACAAAAGAAGTGACTACTTAGTTAGTAGTACTTACTGTACAAAAGAATTACTTACTACTTACTAGTCTGTAAAATTCAATGGCCTTAATAATAGCTAGCTTCACAATGGTCAATGGGATCAAATTACCCTTCCACTTTTCTTTAAGTTTTTTTTAGCCTTATTTTTCTGACAAAACTATCTTTACCTTATGGGAGATCAGTTGCGCTTTGGGCTGGTTGTCAGGGGTTAAAGTTTCATAGTATTAGTATTAAATATTTTTTAGTAGGCCTAATATTTTTTATTACAAAAATATGATACAGGTTGGGTTAGTTTAATTTTAAGGTTGAGAGAGGCATGCATAGGTATAGGCCTAATGTATTTACTGATCTTTTTATTTCACCCTCTTTTTTTAAAGCTACCTCCTCTACCATTTCCAGCTGCTTTCCATTTAATTGAGATTGTTTTTATTAGGCCTATTGTTTTGAGAACAAAAAAAAAACAAAGACTATGTGCATAATATGGTTCAGAACTTGTAACATGGAGAATTGGCTGGCTAGTTCTCCACTAGACAATGATGTCTAACTTTGATTTATAACATTTACATTTAGTCTAGTAATTTTGTATATGGAGTCACAATATCTGCATTAATCAGAATATGCACTATTTAGATAATTGTTGATAATAAAGTAGGCCTATAGAAGTAGACTAGTAAAAAAATGTTTTTCTATTTAAGTCTTTTTTTTAATGTAGGCCTTAATCAAAATGGTAGGATGATTGGCTTGTCAATTATATAGGCCTATTGCTTATAATTATATTTATTTCTTGCTGTTAGTGGTGTTAGCCTATTAAAATGGTAGTCATTTTTGTTTACATTAAGTGCTGGAAGGATTAAACTAAATTAATAATTTTATTATTTTGGTTTTTGCCAGCTTTTGTTATCAAAGCTGCCTGCCTATATTCAGTCTCAATATAAAATCACCAGATACTATCTTGACCAAATTACTTTGATAAGCTTAGGTAAAAGTAATCTTTATTTTTTGTTTTTACAAAAAGATCTTACATAATCCTCTTAATAACCTGCTATTTTTATAATCTTATACTTGTTGCAAAAAAGAAGGAGCTCAAAAGTGTAGGAAAAGTTGTAGCCCATACAAAAAAGCCAGTCTCATGCCCTGGTTTTAATGCATACAAAAAGTTGTAAATAAGTCAAAAATATTTGTTAACACTTATGTCATTATTGACACTAACAGTTGTTTTTATTAATGTTGGTTATTGAAATTAAGCATTTTTGTCTTCTAAAACTGTAAAACATTGAATGCTTTTCTTGTACAAAAATAAAAATATTTTCCTAATACTAAAGGCATAAAATGCATTATGAATATTATTGTGATGTGCCACATTCCCTTCCCAAGACTGTTTTCAAAGCTGTTGATCAAAGCGACAACAATACATTTTTTAATAGTCAAATTCTAGTGTAATATTTAAATTAGCCAAAATGTTAGAGTAAATCAAGTTTTTATTTAGGTTGTATGATTAGAGTCGTATTTTTTTTTTTTACAAAGATGATGAAAATAACCTTACTGTGATTCTTGATTATTATGGATAGAAATATAAATATTACCAAATTGACAAATAGAATATAGATAATAGATGGTTACATTTACTTTAAAAATGAAAAGGGCCATTTAAACCTAGCTCTTTGTGATGTAATTGTAACAAGTTGACAAAGAATACAAAAAACAATGGCTGCAGGATAGATTTCATATAGAACTTCCTTCATATGTTTTGTTGAATCAATACTATGGCATAAGAGTTATACTTAAATAAATACAGCTCTGCTGTAATTATATTACTTTCCCTCTTTTCTGTAGAAGACTTGTTCAACTGTTGTTAATTCTGATTTAGTATTATAATTTCATTATTATTTGGCTTAACGAAAATACAAATTGTATTGTATTTATGACTGTATTATTGCATCCCTTTTAATCTAGAGCTGAATACAGTGCTTTCTGGAAATGTGTTCAAGCAGGAGGTGCATATCTCTTCACACAGTTGTGCAAGATGCTGCTACTTGCAACTTTCTTCCCAGCAACAGAGACAGCCTCTGGTGGGCTTGATATCACTGGGGTAAGTACATTCCATTTTTTGTATGTTTTTATTAAAAAAGCTATCTAAACACTTGAGACTTTCAAAAATCTGTTCCATTCTTTAAAGTGTAAAATTAATTGTGTTTTAATAAATTTTTCATTTTCAACATATGGTAAGCAAAAAGGTTAATAAAAATTCACTAATTTGTTGTAGTGGCTTTAAAAAAAAAGCCCTAGTGTTCCTCCCTTCCCCCCCTCCCCCCCAAAGATAATCTATTGAAGCATAAATGAGTGTATATAGTATATATGTTTAATTAAACCCAGGTTTTCTTTCAATGATGTAATCTTTATTTTCAGGAGTTTCTCAAATCCACAGTAGACATTGCAGATCTTGTTGGGCTGCATATTGTCATGTCAAAGTTTGCAGGGAAAGGTCAGCTGAAATTTATGATTGCTGGAATGGGGTGGGCTACAGCTGAGCTCATTGTCACCAGGTATGTTGTTGCTTTTTGTCTGATAATTTTTGAATTATTTTTTTTTTCATTTTTGTTTGTTTAAAATGCTTGTTTAAAAATGTTTGTTTTATGTCATAAGATTATTTACATTTTTAAATTTGTAATGAAACTGTTTATTGCCACTCATTTTTGAACTAATTTTATTATATTCTTAAATGTTAAAAATCTGCTTGGTACATAAGTTGAGTTGCCTCTAGCCAGAAACAGACACATCAAGTCAGGGGCATCCTTAAATCTGAGCTGGGAACTAATCTTATGGCTTTTTGGTTAGCAATTATGCACCAGCCCCTTGACTATAACATCCATTGTGTAATGCTAAGTCTTTGATAATATTTTTCTTTAGATTTTTACCACTATGGATGGGGGCTAGAGGAGTGGAGTTTGATTGGAAATACATCCAGATGAGCTTTGACTCCAACATCAGTCTGGTCAGTATAACAGCCTTGATAGTGTTTTTTCTTATTGTTTAAATAATTCATTTGTCAAAGTTGATGTTAAGTTATGTCTAGTCTTACTAGTATAATGAATAATACACAAAATTGAGATTTGTACAGATAGATAAAAATTGCATATGACTTAATCATTCATTTTGACTTTCATGTTGGCTTTTAATGTAAGATTTCTGATGAATCAATACTGTACTAGCATATTCATAGAAAAATGTATTTATTTTTTCTTCTAGATTTCCATTTCAAAAAAATATTTTTTCCCCCTTCAGATCCATCACATAAGTGTTGCAATGCTAGTCTGGATGTATAGCCGCAGCGACTTACAGAAATCTTCCCTGCCTGTGGTTGTGACACTCTTAGGGTTGGCATGCTACAGGCCTCTTATTGTTGAGTAGGTTCAACATTTTCTCTCACCTTTGTTGAGTTCAAGATTAACTGTAAAACTGGCCCCTCACTTGTTTAGAGATTTAAGTCTGTTATTTTTTTTTTTAAATTCGTGAACAGCCTGTCAAAGAATAAGGAAATAATAAACTTCTGCCTAAACAAATGTCCTGCTTGAAAAATTGGTGGGTTGGGTGGTAATTGACCATGAATTTAAAATAATAATTTCATTTAGTGATAACACTCAGAAGAAATTGTATCAATCAAACATTGCATTAATCTCTAGAAAATCACCTTGAGTAGTAGAATCAACTTCAAACAACCCCTTTGGACATTATTTTAGAATTAAGACTGGTCTTGTGGTCATAAGCTACTCAGTAGAGGCTGCACTCTCATCCTTTGCATATATTTTAATATTTCTTTCAAGGAAAAGAGAATGGTACCATCTCTCAGATATGTTCTGATTTATTAAATAGAGAAGAATGGATTAGCAGAATAGTTGCCAGATTATTTTGGAAGAAGTTGATTAACAGATGAATATTCTGTCATTTTTTAATATTTGTAAAAAGTGTAACACTGTAATAAATAGAGATTAAAATTTCTATTATTTGGATGATTTAAAACTTCATACCCTTCTCTCATTTAGAGAATATTTAAACTATTTTTGTTTGTTCACAATAGTTATTTTTCTTAACCTGCTTAGCCTTGTTGATAATGTTTCAAAATTTCCACTTCAGAATTCTCATGCAAGCTGTTGGCCTGGGATCCTGGATGTTGCTGTTAGCCAAGGCTGGGTTTACATCCATTGTTGCTCTGATCTCACTGCAGATGTACCTGAGTATCCCATCACAAGGCTCAAACTCTTACTACTGATCAAATTAGATTTCACTTCAGTGTGTAAATGTAAAGAGAAAAACAACAGCATTTCTGAGGCATGTTTTGTGAGGATCATTGAGATCAATGCAGATTCTAATCAGATATTATAGGAACAAGATACAAGGTTAAAGATAATAATTGAAAACTTTCATGATTTTTTTTCAGTCAATTGTGTTTAGGAGTTTTTGTACTATTTATTTTGTTGTAATCTTTGGATGGAATGTTTGTTGTGTGTTTCTCTATTTCTTGATAGGATTTATGATTGTGTTTGTAGCATTTCAAGACTATGTGATTAATTTTCATCATTATTTATGAATGTAGAGAGACTTGTTGTGGAACCATTAATTAAACACTTTTTGCTACCAAGTTGTTTTTAGGCAAATATTCATTCTGTGATAGTCTTGTTGTCTATCTTAGCTAAGATGGGCCATTTTAATCACAATTAAATAAAGTAGGAGGCAAAATTTACTTGGATTTACAAATACTAAAAAAATTTAATGTTAATAATAACACAGTTTACAGTAAATTTTTACAATTTACAGAAAATACAATTTTCAAATAACATTAAGTCACTGTAATATTTAAATTGGTAAACTAGAATGTTTTTTAATCTAAATATATCTTAATCTAATGTTCAGAATAACTGTATTTTAAAGATTTGAACTATTCAGTTGTACTTGTAACTGTTTTCACAAACTGCTTTCATCCATTCAAAATAAAGATACAAAAAGCCAATCAAACTTTACATCTGGAGCACTAGGAAAAAGTAGGTTGGAACTGTATCTAACAAACGATACAATGTAACCATATTTTAATTTATTAATCATATAATTAATACAACAAATGGTGGAATACCTCATATGTTTTCTTAATCATGAGGTCTTGCATATGATATGATTTCATGTGACAAGACATGCATTATTATTTTATGTACACAATAAAGATTTGAAATTTACATTAAAAGAATTCAAAATTCTTGTAATATCAAGAACATAAAAAAAAAAGTAAATTTGTATAGAAATAAACATTTGTAGCTAATCATCCACAGAAATCACCAAACCAATTTGGCATGTACACTCATCTGCTGCACTGGATCTCACAAAACTTTTCACACTGCAATTAAATTATACAGGCTGAATAGTTAGTACAAGGAGCCTGGAGATAAAAAACATGGATGAGATAAGTTTAAAATAAGCGTGTTAAAAATGCAGTTATTTTTCACTACTTATGATAGCTATGTGAGACTTATTTTTTGAGGAAAGTAGCTGTTTTATCTAGTTGTTTCTTAAAAGGGGATTTACAAAATAATTATGGCTACTTGGTAGGTGACCAAAGCCCAAAAGCAAGTTATTCTTATCATTAGTAAAATATTCATCATGAGAAATTTTTTTGTAATAATTATTGTGACTAAAAATTTGTCAAAGAAATGGACCTAAAAAGTGAATCTGAACTGAGCTACTAGATCTATTTGAAATTTTGTTTGTTAATTACCTGCATTTTCATTGGCCCCATCATCTACCCTAGAGCTGCGATCTTTGTGCCGTGAATTTTCTGGCTTTGATGATTTTGATTTTTGGGGTCTTGATTTTTTAGACTGAGCTTTCTCTTGAGGTTTCTTCACATTGAGGAGTGGATGTATTTCTGAAATGATGTTAAAGAAAATAAATATATGACATGATTTGTGCTACTAGAATATACTTTACAAATAACCTCTTAGACATAAGTGCCAACAGTAATTATAGAATGTGAAGTAACCAGTCCTCAATAACATGCATGGCAGAAAATTATAATACTAGATGAAAACTTTAAGTCTTGTTATTGATACAAGTGAATGATTAAACATAAACATTTTTAAAGGCAAAAACAAACCATCTCGTGGAGCATCTGGCAAGTCAATATCCAAAGTTTTTGTCTTCTTTTTCTTGGCTGGAGGAGCACTGCTGTCTGACCCACCTCTACGCTTCTCACTTGAATCATGGCCCTGCCGCGTTCTCTTCTCTGGACCTACAACACATTCACAACAAATTAAATTATTAAAACACATTCACACAATACAACAAATTAAATTATTAAAACACATTCACACAATACAACAAATTAAATTATCACAACACATTCACACAATGCAACAAATTAACCCATTACAACAAATTAAATTATTACAACAAATTAACCCAATGCGCCAAATTAAACCATTAAAAAAAAATTAACCCATTAACAAAAAAAAAGACCTGTTGTATTTAAACTAACCTGTGGGGGTGGTGTCAATTCCCTGCCCTTTTTTCTTTTCATTTGTACTGACATGTTCTTCTGTCTGCGGAATACAAAGTAAATTTAAAAAAAAAATTAGCATCAGATATGTAATCAATGATGTTTTTCCAAACATTCTTAAATCTTTATTTTCTGTAAGTTTTTTTCTTATTTATTCACTTGTATATACACAAATATATGTTAAATATTTTAGGAAAAACACAACTTTTACAGGTGGCAATGCCAACAGCAAAATGTTTCTGCTAGTATGTGTGGGTTGATGTGCAAATGTGCAAGGGTAAAAAAAGGGAACAAATGTGTAGGTGTTTACTTAATGAAGTAATTTAAAAACTTAAATTAGAAAATAAAAGAATTCATACACCATTTTACATAAATATAGATTATGTATTACTTAGATTTTTAATTAGAGGTAGGGGACAAATTATTATAAAACAAGCTGAGCTATTTAGGAAAAAGCCAAGGATCTGAAATTTGAAATGATAATTTTTATATTAAAAAAAAAACTAACTAGTAAAATAAAATATACTAGGTTTATAGGAAGCATTTTTAAAAACGGTAAAATATAATATAAATGGAAAATTTAAAACAACAAAAATGAAACAAGATAAATGAAACAAGTTGAGCTGCTTTCCTCAACTCATTGGAAGCAAAATTCATAAATTACATAAATAAGCATTTAAGTAGAAATTAAGTAATTAGAATGTTAATGTCAGATACTCAAAATGTCGTTTCCAACATTCCTTGTGGAAACTAACACTGAATGTTTCTAATAATATATGTTAAATTCTAGCATTTTATATTATAAATCATTATTATAGATACACATCCATAATTCAAGTAACATTACTTTTTCCTCTCTATTGTAAATATAGAAACTGGTAATTTTAAATTAGGTTTTATTAGTTTGGTAAATATTTAAGTTAATATGAAAATGTGCCATACCAACACAAACAAATTTTGGCATCAGAACACAACAGCTATTTTTTTTTATAGAGCTGTGTGGTGAAAAAGAACAAAAAATATTCTAAATAAAAACCAGAGTTACCACTCCTTATACTGTACTAACTTTCAAGACAGTTGTTATGAGCTGTGCATAGTGAAGATCCCAACAGTTATTGCAAGATATTTAGTAAACTTAGCTTTAAATTCTAAGATAAAATACTTGATATCATTTTAACTCCCTAATTAGAATTCTGATTAAGTATTATCTAAAGATAACTGTCTATAGAAACATTGCATAGACAATACAATTTCATTGAAGCAGAAAAGCAAGCTTTTAAAACTATACTTCGTTTCCACTCTAGTTAACACTTACTTTATTTTATTTTATTTTCAACTGAAGATATTTTATTTTTAAAAATTGTGTACTGAATAGATCTTAATGAGTTAAAACCAATTGAAGTATCATAAAACCAAAAGAAGTAAACAAGACATGTTTTGACTTCAGTCTTTTACTAAATATACTAAAAACATAAGAAAAAAAAACATTCTTCAAATTTTCTTCTGCTACTGGTGATGATAAATCACTGATCTATGGTAAAATATTTATCTGGTAACAACCTTTTTAAAAACATGTTTGGTTCATTTGAGGCATAGATGTAAACTCAAAACATTCTTGTAGTGATTACTTCTTGAGGTTTTATGTTTTTACCTTGACCTGAACCATATATGGTTAATATTTGTCAACACTAGTCTATTAACAGATGATAAAACCCCAAATCTGACCCCCATCTCTTTTAAATATGCTAATTTTAAAACCCATGAAAACGTATCACATTCCTACAATATACAACAAAAACAGCTATTTTAGTATGTGAAACAAAACAGTAACTGTACACTTGTTTTACCGGCACTCTGGGTAGGACACCCTGTGTTGATCTTTTCTGCTTAGAATATTGGAAGGGTAAAAACAAAATAAAATCAAGTGTCAAGGCAAAATAAAAACATCAATCATACCAGAGCAAAGAATATAGCAAAACAAAATAAGCGTAACAGTGATGATTTTAAAAAAACATTTTAGAAAGACAAAAATAAACTGTAAGACATCAGAAGACTATTGAAAAACACGTCAAATTATAGGCAGGGTAGAAATATGAAAGGAGTTATTTTCACTGCTAACCAATTCAACAACAATATGACTCACATTCTAAGGCAGGTTAAAATAGTAAAGAGTATTTAGTAAAACTAAGAAATAACTGTTAATAATTTATATTAAACAAAAATAGTAGGGAAGCAATAGAATTGAGAAATAATGTTGCATGCTATATTTATAAGAAACATGCATGCTACAACCAACATAACACAACTTAAATATTAGGTAGGGAACAAAACAAAACAAAACAAGTTCCATATTTCAGTAATTATGGAACAGCTCAATGGAATATTTATTTGTCTACTGGTTTATATTTTATGCCACAGCCTTTTCAAAATTAAATTAAGTCTATAGATGTTGAGCTGTACAATATATTATGAAATTCAGCATTTTAATTGCATAATCTTATAGAGCATTGTATATTTCAAGTTAAGTTGAGGTCTACTACACAATTTTTACAATCTGTTCATGTTTAAATATAGGTATTAATGTAACTGTTTTATGTTAAGATGTAGTCAACTACACAATGTTCATGTTTGGATCTTGTGTGCTACACAATGTTCATGTTTGGATGTTGTGTGCTACACAATGTTCATGTTTGGATGTTGTGTGCTACACAATGTTCATGTTTGGATGTTGTGTGCTACACAATGTTCATGTTTGGATGTTGTGTGCTACACAATGTTCATGTTTGGATGTTGTGCGCTACACAATGTTCATGTTTTGATGTTGTGTGCTACACAATGTTCATGTTTGGATGTTGTATGCTATACAATGTTCATGTTTGTATGCGTGTGCTACACAATGTTCATGTTTGTATGCGGTGTGCTACACAATGTTCATGTTTGTATGTTGTATGCTACACAATGTTCATGTTTGTATGCGGTGTGCTACACAATGTTCACGTCATTGCTACGTGAGATGAGCCGTGTGTACTTACAGATTCTGATGATGCCTGCCAACCATCTTCTGGTTCCTCAACATCTGGGGAGACAGGTAAAAACAGGAGGGCGTCTTTGTCTTCTTCATCTTCATCACTGCCAGCATCCAGGTGTAGAGAGAGTCAAAGTTTAAAGCATAATAAAATACTACATCCACATTTAACTCATATATTAACAGGTAATTCTCACGATGACATGAAAGAAAATAAATTAATAGTTTTAAAAATAAACTGATTGTCAACATGAAAGTTTGTAATAAAAACTGCTCTGTGTGAACAATTAAATGGAATACTCAGTAAGGGACAGAACTGTTTAATGATATACTCATTAAGGTAAGGACCAGTAACAGCAAAATTAAATACATATTTAGGGGTATATGTTATGATGAATAAACAGAGGCAAGCTACTGGATGAATAAACAGAGATAAGCTACTGGATGAATAAACAGAGATAAGCTACTGGATGAATAAACAGAGATAAGCTACTGGATGAATAAACAGAGATAAGCTACTGGATGAATAAACAGAGATAAGCTACTGGATGAATAAACAGAGATAAGCTACTGGATGAATAAACAGAGACTAGCTACTGATAAAAGAAATACATATTAAGAAGCAATATAACGCTAAGAAAAACAACCTCAGATATAAAATGTGTGCATTAATTAGCTGTATATTTACATTTAAATTTTGCCTGAATAAGTAATATCTTTAAAAACAGAAGGTTTTTACCTGCTGACAAAAGCCTGGATAGGTTCAACAGTCCATACATCAACTTCAACATCCTCTTCAACTGGTGCTAGAAAGTAGGAATGTGTGTGCTTATAAAATTGTTTACAAAGAAAGCACTTCATAAACAGAAGTTTCTGATCAAAATAACTGTCAATAGTAACCCAAAGAACAATTATAACATAACCCAATACCTATAAAATCAATATGTGAATTTGATTAGTAACATTAGTTAAAGTCTATATAAGATATTTGTTTCAACTCCTTTTTTAAAACAATTTTAAATCAACAAACCTTTGCTCTCTTCCTTCTCTTTATCCTCATCTTCTAAATCAAACTCTGATTCTCTCTCATCATACTCAACATTTTCATCCAATTCTTTGAAATCTGGGGCAAAAGCACTCCAGTTTTCCTACAAAAAATAAAACACATAAAGAAGAGAGTAAACAAAATGCTTATAAATGATCAGGCAAATATCACTTATCCAAACAAAACTGCTTTCCTACAGCAGTGGTTCTCAACTTGGAGTATGGTGAGTCAGTCTCAGGGGTTTGGCAGAGGTCAAGATTTTGTCAGTGCTGACAATAAAACTATTAATAATGCGCATATGAAACTGATGGGATTCAGTACCTCAGAAAAAGTATAAGAACCACTGGCTTTGAGCAAAAACAATTGCTCTCATAAAACAATGGAGAAAGATAAAGCTTATGTGTGTGCTTAATGCCGATTACTGGTTTTATAAACATCACAGATGAGCATCTTTAGTGATATTAAAATAATATAAACTCAACATACTACTTGATTCTGTGCCCAAATTGAGACCAAGCCACTTGATATTGATGCAATTATGGGTCGAACAGGATGCCACTGAAAACAAAATAAACTATTTTTAAAATACTGTTTATTATTCAATATAGCCAGGAGTAAAAATTGTGAGACTAATTGACATTATTGCCAGGAACATGCAGGACAGGTATAACTAACCTCAAATAAGAGAGACACATAATTTAATCAAAGATTAAGAATTTTATCCTAAGAAAAATAGAAGCATTACCAAAGTCTCAAATAAATTCTAACTAACACATGAGTAACATTTAAAACCTACCACAACATCTAGTAAAAGTTCTCCTTTTGTTCCATGTAAAATTTTCACTAAGTTCCCCACAGCTTTCTCCCAGATGTACAGAGAATGCTGACGCGCTGACCCAGCCACAATATACTCACCATCACCAGAAAAACAACATTTCTTCCATAATGTTCTAAAAGTAACATAGATAAAAAGTTATACATAGTACATATTTTACATTACTATGGAACTATGCAAATGACTTGGCATAAATAAACAGATATAGACACTATAAGAAAATCACTGATTCAAGACTGATTGAAATTAATTTTTTTTTTAAAATAAAAAAAAAAATGTTATTTTTTATACTGTTATTTAAATGTAGCCCTAACTCATAATTTAGTTCTAAATCAAACATAACAGCTCACTTGTTGACCAGGTCTTGAAGTTTCTGCATTGGTTCGGGTTCCCCATCTTTCCCACATGTGAGAACCTCTCTGCTCTCATAAACTCTAATGATCCTGTCAGCTGAGTTGACTAGAAAACACCTGCAAGACAAAAATCTCAACTCAACATAGTGTTAAACCACAACAAACAACACACTATGATGATCCCTCCAGCTTTATAGTGTTGAGCCGGCATAAAGAGTGGGAAAAAATATGTTACACATGTACTCACTCTCCTCTCCTGGCAAACTCTAATGATTTGATTGCTGTTGTGTTGAGACCACCAGTTGTCACACGAAATGATGCAGCCAGCTCCAAGTTGTCAATATTAAATGCAAGGATCTGCAACATACATAAATGTTATAATTATTATAAAATGCTACGGATTCTTTATATATTCAGGTCATAATTTACAATAGTATCCAACAAAATATTGAGTTGTCAATGAGATTATTTAGGTATAACATAAGCAGAAAATAAATCTAGAAAATTAGTGTTCACAAAATAATGAAACAAATACATACCCTTCCTTTTGCGTTTCCTGTATAAATATAGCGCCCTCTTCTGTCAAATGATGCTATAATATTTAAATCAAACTGAAAAAGAAAATTCTTCCAACTTCTATAGTTTGAATACAATAGTTAATGAAAAAATGAACAACCTAACAATGGAGAATCTTTAGTTAAATTGTTTAGCTGAACAACAAGTAAAGCTTACTTACATCCTCATCAAGTGGGACTATTTTATGTTCACCTTTCACAGTCATCAACACTGCAGCATGTTTCAATGGACAAACCAAAAACTGGGAGCTAAAGGAATTAAAACATATATAATGTAGTTTGATGATCCGTTGTTAAATTGTTTTTAGTTTAAGTCAGGGGTAAACAAATGCCTAGGTAACAAAAATGTTTTTTGAATGGTGCTGTATTCAGTATACAAATGTATAGTAAATTTTGTAATGCTACTGTATTCAGCATACAAGTAAATGGTAAAATAGTTTTGAAAATAAATCTATAAATGTATACTGAAGTCGTTAACAACTAAAGTATATAACAGTGAATAATACTTGATAAAATACCTATTCCTGGGGTGCCACTGGACTTTTAATACTGGTGATGGGAAACGGAAGACTTTTTCATTTTCTCCAGAGAGAACATCCCATATTGCAACAGTGTTGTCAGTGGCGGCACTTAACAGCTTTCTACCACTTCTATTCCAGCTGCAGTAGGTAGCATCAAGCATTCAATTATTTCTCAACTATAACATCACATCTTTTACAAGTGATAATTAATTACTGAAGTAATTACATTATAAATTACAATTATTTTTCTTAACTACACATAATTTTAGACAGAGACTTCTACTAATAAAAAGTTAATTATAATTATTTATTTCCCTCTATAAACTTTATATAGCTTTATTGTATTCAATTCCATACCAACATTTTAAAAATTTGCTGAAGATTAACATATTTTTCAGGTGAATCAGTTTAATTATCACAACCTCATTGTCTGCTTCATTAGTAGAATTTCTAATCAAAACAAATAATAATCAACAACTGACCTCAGTGAACATACAGGATGGACATGTGCATTTAAAAATTTGGCTATTCCTCTAGTAAGAAAATCCCAAACAACAATTCTTCCATCGTTACAACCAACAGCCAATAATGTGCCTTGACGATTGAAGGCACATGTTATTGCAATGCTTACACAATCTAATGTGCCATCAAAATCTTCTGGGAAGTTTTGACCAAATGACTCTGAAAAAATGAATTTTGTATCACATTAATTGTATTCAAAATATATATATATATAATTGTCTTCATGGTGACCATCCGAGACACCACCAAGTTACTCCCGCGCTCTCTAGGCATTTAGCTACCACCCCCCACCATTCTAGTGAGCTAAGGTTCACCCCGAATGTTTACAATCGTAGAGCTGGGCGATCAAGTAACGAAAATTAAGGGCAGATAATTTAGCTTTTAAACTATTTGAAACTTAGGAGAGATAAGAAGCTCTGCTTGATCTTTTCATTGTCGTCCGTAAACTGTCGTCACGGACTGCTGCGTTCACTGTGGCGGGGGAGGGGAAATGGAAGGGAGGGTAGTGTCGAATTCACTAACTATGAAGTACTGAAAAGTAGACAATAAAACAACAAAATAGCAGCATAGGATACTAAATTTAGATCAAGCTCAACCTATAAAACACATTAACAAGGGAGCCTGCATTCTATATAAATGCTGCTAAATTATACCTATACTACTATTACCGCAACTTCTTTCACCTTAACCCCCCCCCCCCCATATTTTCACACTCATAAAATGTCTTTTAGAGAACACAAGCTTTCAGCCCTTCTGAATAGATAGAGGCCAGGCCGGAGAGACGTTCTGACCGTGATTCAAAGGGACGACTCAAAATATCTTCCCAGAGTTCAATAAGTTGATTGATTAGTCAGATTAGTGCTAAACAGATTAGGTCTTTAGGTCCCACTGCATCAAAGTCAAAGCTAAAGTAAAGAGGGTGACATCACGTAAATCTAGATTCAGATCTAGAATCATAGATTTCTCTAGGACTCTAGTGTAGATCTAACTAAATCTAGAGTCTTCTTAGAATCTAGATTTTCTGATCTTGTCTTCAGTTGTGGATGAGTGCCCCGGTGCAAGTGGCACTGCTAACTGTTACCCTGGCAGTGTCATCACTCATCAGTCACTCACTCCTGTCATCAGCATCACATCAGACGTCTAGATCTACTCAGTTCTCAGTAGTGAGGAGTGACCAGTCTCAGTGACTCTCAGTCTCTCAGTTGCGATCATTTGTAATTTAATTTTGCCGAGTTTAGTTTGTTTTTAACTCAGAGTTTATGCATGAATAAAAGATTTAGGGCCTAATGGGTTAGTGTACTTAAAAAATTGAAACAATCTGAAAAACTAAATAACATTTAAAATTAAGACAAAACATGTTTTACCTAGCAGTTCTAGGTTCATTGTTGATTGTTACCGCTCGGTCAAACCATACACCGAAATAATTATTAAAATTATAAAAGAACTAAATCTACCTTTATCACAGCAAAGGCTTGTTATCTTAAATGTTCATAGTTTAAAAAAAAAAGAAGCCCAAGGCAATTAAGTTTAAAACATTTGACAGCTTACATTAAATCAATAAGATTATTATTACCCATTAAAGTTACTTATCAAAGCAATGAAAACTTAGTCAATTCCGCACTACCATTTCATTTCACCTACGACTTACTATAATGCACTATGTAGGCCCATAGTTTTGAACTTGGTACCAAAAGAAATCTCACTATTTATAACAAAAACTGCTGCAGCCTACGGAATATTTAATTCAATTTTCTTTTGTTTTTGCTACAATTAATTTAATAATTTACGCTAGTCGAGGCCTAAATTAAAAAAAAGAGGCCTGCTTTTAGCATTATAATTATGCACTTTTTTGTAGTTATTAGGCCCTTATAGACTCTAGTAATTTTGCAAAATGAAACTAAATATCTAGTCCTATAGTGTTTACTATCATAATTATATTAACTTCTACCCACATACCATATACCTAGATTCTAGACCTGGATCTATTTATCAAAATTATTGTAAAATTAAAGGGTTGCGTGGGCGGGTTTTTGTATGTTTTGACAACTAACATCTTCGACCTACAGGGGAGAATATTGTTGATAACGTTAATTTTCCTTTTCGATCAAGTCCAAAGTCTCAGTACTGAACTTACTCGAGTACATAAGATCTTCTAGACGAGATTGAATAAAAAATGTCCGGGCTACGAATTCTAGTTGGATGCAAAAGAGTAATTGACTATGCCGTTAAAGTGAGCTTTATCTAGATATTTAACTTTGCAGTTTAAGCAAAAACTTTTAAACTTTTTGATTTTTTTTTATGTTTGTTTACTTAACTAATGACTAATGTTTACTTTTATACTTTGACCAAATCACTTTAGGGGAGTTAGTTAAATTTAATTTGAATGTTTATTTTTATTCTATTTTCTATGTCATTGTCATTAAAGTCACATTCATTAACATTTGCAGATCAGAGTTAAGCCAGACAAAACTGGGGTGGTTACAGAGGGTGTAAAGCACAGCATGAATCCATTTGATGAGATAGCTGTGGAAGAGGCAGTGAGGATGAAAGAAAAGAAAATTGCTTCTGAAATCATTGCAGTTTCATGTGGTCCAACTCAGTGTCAGGTTAGCAACTAGTTACGCTGTTTAAATTTAAAACTATGTAGATTTCTAGATCTATCAATCAAGGCTTAGATTGTATCATATTTTATGTAAGTTTGTAGCCAGGATTTCTCTTAAATATCTTTAAATTCTTTATCTAAAGGAAATTTTAAGAACAGCTATGGCAATGGGAGCTGACAAGGCAATTCATGTTGAAGTTGACAACAAAACATATGAGTCACTCCAGCCCCTACACATTGCTAAGTTATTTGCTAAGATTGCTCAAGAGGAAAAGGCAGATATAGTTATCACAGGCAAACAGGTATTGTTTGAATTTTGTTTTTCTTTTTCTTTTGTAATTAATAAGCACATTATTGATTCTAAATTATTTGCGAGTGCTGTAAGGATCTACACTTTTAGATTGTTTCACATTCTAAAATTTAAAAAATATTAAACCAAGCTATTGTAAATAATTGTTTACTTATTTTAAGGCAATTGATGATGATGCTAATCAGACTGGACAAATGATAGCAGCTTTGTTAAACTGGCCACAGGTATTTGTATATTTAATGTAAAATTTATTAGGCCTACTAAAATAAGAAATGAAATATATTTCTTTTTTTTTCAGAGGATTGCATACCAAATAAGACCTTAAAAGTTATTTGATTATAGAATTGATTTGAAAGTGTTTAAATTAAACTGATGCTTAATCATGAGTTTCATTAAAAAGAAAACAGAGTAGTGTATTAATGAATTAATCAATAAAACAGATGGTTTGTAGTTAAGTACTGTTAAGGAACTCTACAGTACTATCTAAAACAGCTCTATCACATACATTAATAAACAAATGTTTTTTTGTGTAGTTTACATGCCTTTTGTTGTATTTCTTGTTGACCATTAGGCCACCTATGCCAGTAAAATAGAGAAAACAAATGAAGGGTTGAAGGTGACCAGAGAAATTGATGGAGGTTTAGAGACCATTAAAGTCAGTCTTCCATCTGTCATTACTACTGACTTGCGTCTGAATGAGCCACGCTATGCAACACTACCTAATATAATGGTATTTTATGCATTGTCTTTCACATTTTGAAGCAATTATGTTTTTTGACTTGTTCTTTTTTTATATTTTTATTATTTTTTGTGTGTGTAAATTGGCCATTAATTATAATAATTATATAATAATAATTATTATATAATAATTAATTATAATAATTATATTCATCTATCCAAATCTGTATGATCCATGACATTTTTCCCCAACTTAAGTACACTTTGAGTAATATAGGACAAAACATTTCATATTTCCTAGTTAATCTCATGAACTTTAAAAGAAATGTAGTTTATGTTTTTGCTTGAATTTAACTACTTCTTTGTGTACCTAAAATGTCATCCGTGTATTTATATCTAAAATATTTCCTCCCAGAAAGCTAAAAAGAAGCCTCTAGTAAAGAAGACAGCAGCTGACTATGGCATTGATCTAAAGCCAAGAGTTGAGGTGTTGAAAGTGGAGGAGCCCCCCACCAGACAGGCTGGATCTAAGATAGGAAGTGTAGAGGAGCTGGTCCAGAAACTAAGGGAGGCAGGGCTAGTGCCTTCATAAGGTACATACAGCCTGTCAGAAAGTTGCTTACAATACGTTGAATGTAATTTAAGCTCAAATTCTATGCTAAATATTATCAAATGAAGGCGTGCTTGTTAGTTACCTTAAGCAATTTATTCAAATAACATTTAAAATATTAAATCTTTAAGGATTTAGGTTTCATTCTTGTTTGTATATCAATACAAGTAAGAAATAGTTTATCAATACTAATTTTAATCTTGTAAATATTTCAAGTAATAAGAATTGAATTTTAAATACTTTGTGTTTATCCATTGTCTATAATAAGTATGTTTTATTTATCAAATTATTATTTGAATTCAGTTACTATAAAAAAACTTTCTTTCAATTATTTTTGCTCACAAGATTAAAAAAAATCTTAAAACTTTTGTTTCAGACAAGTCCTGCAAGTATTTAGACAGCCTCAAGTAAAGTGCTCTGATTTGTGATACTAGAACAATTTTGACCTTTTACAATTGACTTTTAACCGATGAATATATTGAATGAGGTATAAATTAAGTTTAAAAAATAATGTTAAGTGCTGCTTTTGATTATGAGCAAACATTTTCTTTTAGTACTATTCTGATTTGAAGGCATAATCAAGTAAAGATGTTGGTGGCTCTGTGAGTCACAGTATTTACGATGAATAAAACGGTTTTTAACATGAAATGTCTGTGTCTGTGATTAATGTTGCCCTGTTGTTCTTAGTACGTACATCAAGGGAGATAATTAAAGATCAAAACAAAAATTTCTTTTTAATACTAAATTCCCTTTTATGGTCTTTTTGAAGCCAACATCAAACTACGTTTGAGACGATTCCTTTGTTCTCGTCCATGTTAAGTTGCCCATTTCTTCATAGTGTTTCTCACTGTCTGCACCAGTTTGGCTCTGTTTTGTCTCTAAGGGACATACTAACATAAATGTAGTGTACTTTATGGACATTCTGGAACTATCTGCACAAGTGGCTGCACATTTGGTGCCAATAAGTACTCATAGTTCTTTATGTCATAGCTGTTTAGTGTTATAAAAATATTAGATTTGTCACACAATCTCTTTGTGGGTGATGAAACAATAACTAATAACATCACTTTAAGAGATAGACCGTGCAGAATGCTATTTTTTGCATGTAATAACATGCTCATATCAAACCTACAAACAGTAGGTTCTACTTCTGCCTCCTTTCTTACCCTCCTCGAATTTGTAACAAGTGAAATTTTTAAAAATGTCAAACATATAAATACAAACAAGCTTAGACAATGTTGTTATACCCTCTCAGCTGGTTTCTCCCTGTGTGATGTGTTTCAATAAAAAATATTCTGTATACATTTAGTATAGAGGATATAGGGCTGATAAGTAGGTCACCAACCAGTTCTATGGCTCATGCAGCCGCCTTTACTTTCCCTAACGTGAGTTGGGTGGACTCTACTGACTTGAACCCGGATTGGACTTGAGACTTACGGGTTAGCGGTCCAGCTCTCTACCGCTAGACCACTCCGTCTCCAGGACACAGTACTTTACGATTATTGTGATTGGAATGGTTACACAACTTAGAAATTACATGGGCCATTACATTATGGGGATAATCTACACGGACTAAGCGGGGCTTAATGGTCAACAATATAAGGGAGGTTTGGAGGGCATCGAAATGCTCAAATTTTGGGGCCCAGTAAAAATACTAAATTTAAGATTCAAAATTCCCCAAAATGAAGTGATTTTTATGGACCCAAAATTTCGAAATTCATAATAAATTAATTTGAAGATCTACACAAAATTTTTTAGCTTTATAAATGGTGGGGATCCTACGAATAGGATAATTTTTCAAGTTGGCCGCCATTGTCATACTTATCAAGATTTTCCCACCAATTTTTAAAATGGAAACACATCGGGATGTACCTTAAAAAGGCTGTAGAGAAAAAATTGTATAGTATTAAAACACTTTCTCTACCGGAGCCTACCCACTTAACTTAGAAAAGCCAATAGGATTGAATGCAATTCAAAGAAAATTGAAATTACCGACTTTTCATGTTTGATGGGTTTCTACTTTCTACTTCAAAAGTTTGAAAAACGGATAGTCACATTTTAGAACATGTTAGATTGCTGGAAGAAAACAGAAACCTATGGAAAAGAACGGGAAATTTGTTTCTTTTGAAAAAAATATCCGAGAAAAAGAGAATGGGGTTAGAAATGAAACACCTTACGAAAATCGACAATCCGCGAGAGATTGACAAAATAAAACACTAGGCGAGGTGACCTTGACAAAGATAGGCAAAATCTAGAGTCCAATCGAGAAGATGGCACAGGACAGAGGACTCTGGAGATCTTTGGCTGGCCGCTCATTCCCCAGTAGGACAGAGGACTGGAGATCTTTGGTTGGCGGCCCATTCCCCAGTAGGAGTGACGGGCAGGGATAATGATAAAACATCTAAGGAGCTAATAGTTGTGAACTCGAAATAAATTGAATATTTTGTTGATTATCGGCCTTTTGTCCATGTCGCTCTTTTTAGATGTCGGCCTTATTGGATATCGGCTGTTCACCTGGAGAAAAGACAATGAGACCATTCTACCGTTAAAAATTACGACTCATAGACCTACCACATATAGATAACTAAATTATTTTTTTTACCATTGACCTGCCTTGTCACGTTGACCCACATCTCTTGACCGATCTCTTCCAAATTCTACGTAGTCCGTATTTCACAAAAAAAACAACATAATAATAATAATGTCGAGTGCCATTCTTTTGCTAAAACGGAAATGTTCATACACAAGCGGAGTATTGTATTAGCATTACGAACACTCCAAGCAATTAATACATTTTCCACACACCGTGTCTAGACACGCCAGTATTTGAACTTTTTGCCTAACAAAATGGCGGTCATGTCAAGCGGTCAAATTTTAAGAGTGTCTGGCATGTTGTCAGCAGTCTGAGTGGTTCTTTTTCCACAGTATAGCAGCGAATTATTCAATTAGAACTTTGACCATTTAACCCTCTCCACAAACTCGAGATTTTCTGCTTTTCAGTTGGTTATATCTCCTAAACGACCAGTGATGAAGGGCTTGCTTTAGCTCCGAGTTTAAATGATTTCACGGGACTGCGTGGTTAGATAGTAGAACCCACGGCAACTAACATGAAAGTCTCAGGTTCGAATCTCGGCCACGGGAACTTAGTCCACGTATTTCACATTAGGGGAAGTTGTTACGTCCCTTACTGCTGACAGTCCAATGACAGAGGTTGTGCGACAGTTGGTTGGCGTGTGGATAAATTACACCAACAGCACAACACAATTCTAGATTTGTTTGGAAGCCTCGCTAGGCATGGAGAGGGGTGGGCCATGCGACACTTAGCCCTAGATACTCCATTCAAATCTGTGGCACCCAAACGACGCCCAGAGGTTAAAGGATTTATTTTTTTAATCGCTGTTACGGTTAGGTTTAGAATTAGAGATTGAGTTCCGGAGTCATTGAAGTTACAGTTAGAACAGGGGTTTGTGTTAGCGCCAGTAACACTTACCCTAAACGACACTAAGAATAATATATATAATCGAATACGTCCAGCAGTTGTTGGTTGAAGTACACTTGACATGTGCCCACAGGTGGAACATGGTATCGTAAACACCCATCATTCGTGTGAAGGGTGTCTAGTGGTTTGGGAGATGGGGGGGGGGGGGGCGTGATAACCAGTGACGTCACTTATTTTCGCACAGACACGCATCCCTAAACTAGAAGCATCAATTTTATGGCTTATTCTATCAGCAGATTTTTTAAAATATTGGACAATCTAGGTGACGCTTTGGACTAACGGTAGAGAGCTAGACGGCTAACCCGAAAGTCTCAAATTCGAATCCGGGTTCATGTCAGTAGAACGTCCCTTATGTTCGGGAAAGTATAATGCTGACCACACTATCTCTTCTTATGCCGAGGCCACAAAAAACTGGTGAACTTCACTTGCCCCATGGACCGTCAGGTTCCAGCTTCTTCTGCATTCTTTATTTTAGTGTTGGTAGGATATCCCTCCAACACGTGTCAACTGGTTATAAGTCATATAGGCCGTAGACTCCGATTTCGCTTTCCAGCCTGCTTTTTTTTTTTGGATTTGCTTCCATAGCTTTTGTCCAACCAAGAACAAACTACAAGACAGCAGTTGTTTGATTTTGGAGTTTTTCTCTCTTAGAGATTTTTCGGTTTAGCAACCATGAGCTTTACCGACTCGACCACGCCGACCCCTGCCAGATACCAAAAGGGTACTTTACTCATTGGACAATTCACAGCCTCTACCCTGGTGACAAACAGTTTTTTTGTTAGCCATCTACGGCTAGACCATAAGGTCTCTTGCTGTAGATACACGTCACATTCTTTGCCCTTTTTTTTATAGTTCAAGAATTTTTAGTTATTTCAATTGTTAGATTCCCACGTTTGATTAAGTTCAAATCAACGTCGAGCGTATTAAATGTGGACCTTGAGAAGACCATAAATTGATTTTAAGCTACAGAGATATCTGCAGTATAAATCTCCGAAAACAAACTATAAATCGTTTCAGTATAATGTGCAGGTAACGAGAGGGGGACGGGGGGACGGGGGTGACACCATAGCGAAAAATTACAAACTATTTAGAAGAAAATGCTTTTTGCCGGTTCAATTAATGTGCAAAAAATGTACAAAATTTAGATAGGAATAAAGGCTTACTGAGTATTTTGAATATCCGACAAGAGAGGGGGTGACACCAAAATCTAATGACTTACGATTAAAACGATGCTTTTTTTTCATAAGAATGAATAGGTGGATTGTGCGCACTAATTAATTAGTCAAATAGGGAAGGGGATGTCACCAATTGCTACTATATATATATATATATATATATATATATATATATATATATATATATATATATATATATATATATATATATATATATATAAATAAATAAATGAATAAATATATATATATATATATATATATATATATATATATATATATATATATATATATATATATATATATATATAAAACATCAGTTTTTTCGGGGGCAAGGGTGACACCATGAGGTCCCGCACCGGGTGACACCCTACCTCGCGACGCCACTGGTCATAGTAGGCCTATGTCTACTGTCACTGTCGCAGCAACCCATCTGGCGCCCTTTTAAATAAAGTTGTTCAAGTTAGCAAAAAAAGTGACCCCTCCCCTTGCTTAATTAAACCCCATTTGGAAAGGTCGGGAACGCATTTTACCACTTACAACAATACCTTGCTATCACAGGAAGGACGTAGAAAACAATGAATTAATTACAAACCCAATAGGTGCCCCTTAGGATTGGCGCCCGGGACTTCCGCCCCACCCGCTCTTGCCCTAGATACACATCTGCATACAGTAGCAGTGGAATAAAAGTGGGGAGAAGGAGAGTGCAAGAGTGCAAAAGACAGAAGGAGTAAGAGGGAAAATTGAGAGAACAGCAGAGAGCGAGATGAAGCGAGGGAGTGAGATCTAAATAGAGAGTGAGACAAAAGAGTTGAGGTTTGTCATCTTGGCACATGACCTAACACTCTCTTGTACGGGGTGGTAGAGGATACGTGTAGGGATCCTGAGCTGCTGAACTTGGTTCGCACAAGTCTCGGGTTCAAATCCTTATGACGTAGTTCACACAAGTTACGGGTTCAATAACTTATGACTTTGGT